CCAGAGCCTGGGACCCCATCCTTTCCAGAGGAAAACGGGCCACTTTCTAGACGTCCATGCTATTGCTTCTCCCAGCTAGCATTTCCCATGTTCCCACTAAGTCAGCTCAAAGACTTGGCCCCCTTATGAAGCAGGTAAAAAAGTAAACTCATTTTAGCTTGAAAGAAAATAAATGTACCAAATGAAGCAGTTGTTTATGATGATCATAACACAGTTTTATATATAATGAATCATGTTATCATAACCGGTAGTACAACAAGGGCTTCAGTATCCACAGCTAAGCATGCTGAAAGTCTTTAACTTTCCAACCATCGGTGAAAGAAAGAGATGCAATTTATAGGACTGATTTCACATTTCCCCCCATGAATCATTAAATATTTAAGCACCAGAACATTCAAACACTTCAGGTCCCTGTGGCAGCCAGCTTTGGTGTTGAAAATGAATTACGCCGAGTTCCTGACAGATAATAACAGTGACAATTGCAGTGTACCAATGTTTAATGTTGATGGTTTTGTTCTCTCCAGAATTTCTAGATAATGTCCCTGTAGGAAATTGTGAGTCTGCGTGTGTGTATGTGTGTGTGTGTGTGTGTGTGAGAGAGAGAGAGAGGGGTGGGGTGGAGGTGGAATACAGTAACTTTAAGATCTGAAGTAAAACAGATGAATTGGCTAGGTATAAATATTCCTCATCACAAACTAAGTCCTATGAGAATCCTGGTGTGGCGCTATAGGATAAGTACTGGCTGCTAACCACAAGGTCAGCAGTTCAAACCTATAAGCCACTCTTTGGAAACCTGAACAGGATCCACATGAGATGGAAGTGACATGACAACTCTTTACAACAACCACACGAGAATCCTAAGGATCTCTGGTGGTGCTGTGGGGAAGGTGTTGTTCTGCTAATCACAGGTTGGTGGTTCAAACCCACCAGCTGCTCTGAAGGAGAAAGACGAGGTTGCCTGCCTCTGTAAAGCTTCACCATCTTGGGTTGCTATGAGTCACAATGGGTTTCTTTGTGTAGAAAATCATATTTCTACTGCGTAAAAATAGCCAAGATATATTTTTCATATTTCATGTGTTGTCATTGAGTCAGTTCCGGTTCACAGCTGCCCCGGATGAGGTTTCCGAGGAGCAGCTTGGTGTGTCTGAACTACCGACCTTGAGGTTCAGACAGACCTTGCAGCCCCACAGTGCCACACAGAAGATGTGACCATAATAAATGTTTGATGACTAGTACGCATTAAGCATTTGACTTAGTTTTCCACCAAGAATAGTTGTGTCCCATCTTATAAATGTGAGAAGTGGCGCCCAGGGAGTTGGCTGCACCACCCAGAGGAGCACATCTGGGAAATAATGGAGCAGGGCATAAAGCTGGGCTCCGAGCGACCCTAGATGACACAGTAGAAGTGCCCCCTGAGGTTTCCACAGGAGCAGATACCTGGTTCTTTTAGCCCACAGAGTGGCTGGTGGCTTCAGACCACCTACCTTCCAGATAGCAGTTGGGATTTCTGTCATTGCATCCCCACCAAAGCCGATGTCTTTCTAGATTCTTCCATCGGTACCAATAAAGTGAGAGCTGGAACAATGCATCTGGTGCACCGGTAGAAACTCAAGTCTAGTGTCATATCCTACAACACATAGGATGGCCTCTCTACTGTGACCTCCAAAAAGCTCAGAATCGAATCTTTGGACTATTTGTGCGCCCCTAAGGAGCTCTGGTAGCGTAGTGGTTACGAATCAGGCTGCAAGCCGTAAGGTCAGCAGTTCGACACTACCAGCAATTCCATGGGAGAAAGATGAGGCTTCCTGCTCCCATAAAGAATTACAGCCTCGGAAACCCTGTACAGGGTCAAGATGAGTCCCAACCGACTCCAAAGCACATAACAACAACAGGTCTGCAGGCTTCCTGGAGACAATGTGGTCCTTGCAAGTTCTTAACACCAGCTGTTATCTGAGTTCCCATCAGCTCACATGGCATAATGTCACCTCCTAAATCTTGTCCTTCCTGAAACTGAAGTGTATGGATAAAGAGGAATTTGGGGGGGCGGGGATGTTGGTCAGAGCTCATCAGCCAACTGTCTTGTCAATAATTGTCGTTGGAGACCATGGCTGTGTAGTTAAGGCTGCCACAGGCAAATATGTTAAATAGTTGATGTCACATGCTGTCTGAGGCTCACCCTGAAATTCAAGATCCATTGAAATCAGTATCTTTAGGCATTTTAAAAAAGCTAATAAATTATTAAGATAATTTCTTTTAGCAAGATAATGTTTCTTATGTTCCTTTTATCACTCTCATTTCTTCCTAGAAAGCATATACAGACCAAGATCAGGAAGGAACAAGATGAATTTTTAGGATCCTTGACCTTTAGTAATAGAGAAAGTTTTCAGAAACAGAAAAGTCTAATTGAAAATAAAGTTGAATTTGGCTTAAATTTTGGGACCCTGGTAAAATTTATCATGCTGCACCACAGTTGAAAATGGAACAAACATGACAAACGAACTTTAAAGTGTTCTGCTACATGAAGAAAAGACCTCATTTTAAAATGTACTTTTTTTTTTTTTTTTTGCCTGTTTACCAGAAAATACTCTTAAATAAATTGCCATCCTGGAGCAGCAAGACTCGATTGAAATGTTTTCTACACACAACGCTCACTCCTAATCAGTGTCTGGCAAGGAAAACAATAAATAAATAGCATTTTAATTGAGTTTGCCGTCTTTCAATTATTTTTAAGTGCACTGAAAGTGAACACTAACATGCATGTCACTCTCATGAGAAATGACATTCTTCAGTTTTCAGTAAATGCCTTTTTTTTTTAATCAGGAAAGGGGAAAGGATTTCATAAAAAGCATTTCCAACAGCCTTCTGATTTTTAGGATTAGGCCCTTCAACTCCTAGCAAAATGTAAAAAATCCATCCTTTGAGATTCAGAAACATACTCACTATAAACAGACACAGCTTCGAAGCATTTACGGAGCCGTGTGATGCAACAATTCCTGCTTCTGGCCGTGGGACACACAATACAGATATAAAACATAAGAATTTTTTAAAACCATGAAGTGGGATGGCTCCTATAGAAACCAGTCAACAAAAACCAAATCCAATGTTATTGTGATGAGTCCAACTCAGAGTGAGCCTGTAGGTCAGGGTCAGTAGGGTTTCAAAGGCTATCATCTTTACGGAGAGCCCTAGTCTGCTGCTGTAGGGTAAGCAGTGGACTGGTAACTGATAGGCCAACAGTTCAAATCCACCAGTCACTCTTGGAAACCCTACGTAGGGTCACTATGGGTCAGAAGTGACTTGACAGCACTCAGTAAGAGCACTAGCTTTACTGAAGCACACTGCTCCATCTTTCTCTTACAGAGTGGCTGGTGGGTTCCAACTGCCCACCTCCTGGTTAGCAGTCGAATGCTTAACCACTGCTCCACCAGGACTCCTCGAATCAGTAACAGGAACATTCAAACGACAGAGTGTCTTTGTTCACTGAACAATAGCCTGGCATCTTCCTGGTGGAGTGAGCTGACTTAAATGAAATTTCTTACCTACATTGTGTCATGTGGGCCCTTCATTTTCTCCCCAGGGCATAATGCTATCTCTGTCACTTCCCCTCAGGAGGTTCCATTATGTGTCTGCAAAGTGGCCACTTGTCACTAGCAGGCAGCTCTGCAGACTCTCCTGGTTGTGTGTGTGTGTGTGTGTGTGTGTGTGTGTGAAGCACCCACCTGGGGAAGCCCCATGTGACTTCTGCCCCATTATCAGACACACACCCAGGACAAGGTGGACCCCAACTGGGGAGCAGTAATCTATGTAGAGGTTCTCAGAAAAGGGGATTCAAATTTTGTGAACAACTGTCTTCATATTCATTCATCACTTCGAGGCTCTTAAACCCTTATTGAGTATATATATATATATATATTCTCCCATAATTGCTACTTTTGAAAAGAGTTGCCCGAGTAGGCATTTCATTGTCTGAAAATGAAGACAGGAACATAATGCTCTCCGCTCCTCTGTGATGTGTTTATGCTAATGCAGCATCCTCAGAACACATTGACTACGTGAAAGGATTATGGGTGATCATTCATTTTACTTTGAAATGAGCTGTTAAGACCTGGCAGTGTGCTGCTGGGTTTTTTTATTTCTTTGGGTCATGTTTTCTGTTTTGTTTTGTTTTAACAATTATTTAAAGAGCATGGAAAAATAAATGAGAGAGAAAATCATTTTGAAGTGTTGAAATCTTGACATTCTAGTTTCTTGTATTGGCCTATGTATTTTCCCCCCTGTAACAGTCCATTCAGAAGCACACTGTATTAAAGCATTGTCAGCTTCAATTGTTTTGAGAAGTCATTAACCAATGAATGACGTTTTCACTAATGCAATGTTGAGCCTGGCCTTTGCCATCTACTCGCCTTCCTGTAAAGCGTCATGTGTTCTAAATACAGCCAGCTCCTCCATCATCCTCAACAGAATAAGAATAACTTGATTTCATTTAGACTGGTGAAGAAGGCACCATGGACTTCTTGGACGAAGTATAACCAGTCTGCTCCTTGGAAGTCAGGATGGCAAGACTCCATCTCACACACTTTGGGCGTTGGACATGTCATCAGTAGGACACATGGAGAAGAACATCATGCTTGGGAGAGGCGCAGGTCAGTGAAGATGAGGAAGACTCTCAATGGGATGGATTGGCACTGCGGTTGTAACAATGACACACACACAGTAATGATTGTGTGGATGGTGCAGGGTCAGGTTGCAATGTTCACTGGTTGTACACGGGGTTGCTATGATTCAGAACTACCTTGATGCCATCTCACAACAACAATCTAGATTGGTGGATCGAGATCAATCCATCATGTATCTGTACAGAACCAAAGAAAGGATGACAGTTCTGTGGCTATAGCAGCTGAAGCTGGAGTCCAAAACGAGCATCATGAAATAGCTCAGCACTGCACCCAGACCTTCCTGTAGTCAGTCTCTCGGCAATGCCGTGGCGAGGTGAGATTTCTCTAGCTATACTTCATACAGACCTGGCATCGGCTGGTTTTCTGGCGCTGGGCCTGGCTTTCTTTTAAGGTGTCTGGTACTGGTGCCGAGGAGAACTGCCTGTCGGCTTTCACTGTAGTCAACCAGAAACTATACTCATTTGCAAAGAAGTGGCATGTCCCTTGCCGGCCTTGACATTCGAGGAACGGCGTCGCTCTGAAGTCTTCCAGACAGCTGCCCGGTGACATGAGGGGCTGCCCTCCGCCTTGGGACCCAGCTCCTGTGTGCTACCCACACCACAAGAGAGAATTAGGTCTCAGACACACATAGACAAATGCATACATAGCCATTCAATGACACACTGAGGTTTGAGCCTGAGTTCAAACTGTTTCCTTAACTTTGTTTATGGAGAACAAAATACTGTCTTCTGAGGAAAGGAGAAGTTGTGGACATTGTTGGGTGGGCATACAAAATGGAACCACTTTCACTGATGGCTAAAACAAACCCAAGGAATTAAAAAATTGAGGATTAAAAAGCATGGCCCTGTCCCTCAACAGGCTGTGGTTTGTGGTGACCTTCACGACTTTGTGTCCTACTGCTATAGTCTGCAGAGGACATGAGACTAGTGTCCAGTCCAGGTGGAAGGGGCTAGAGAAAGGCATGGCAAAATGGCAGCTGGCCCAGGATTGAATGTGAAGAACTCACCATCAAGAATGAATACCCGATCCACAGGCTCCTCCAGGACCGAGGACACGGAGGGATAGACTGGTCCTGACTGTGCACTGCCACGGCCTGGGCAGGGGCCTCACACACAGCGCAGCGGCTGATGTACGGGCGGACTTCCTCCTCCGAGAGCGGCATCATGGGTAGGGGGGCAGCACTGGCCAGCCAGTATGATTTGTCATTTCTCCGGGCATAGTGGCATACTTGGTGGATGTTGCAGTAGGCAAAGGGCAGTGTGCTAAACATGGGCAGGCAAGACCCTGCTAGACCTTAGAAGGGAAGAAGAGCCGGTATGGCAATGAGCATCTTGTGCTGTGATGTACAGTGATCTACGTGAGTTCGCAGACACATGTTCTGGTGTATCCTCCACCCATCACTCCCTGCGGCTGTGGACCAGCCCTCATCCACCCATCACTCCCTGCGGCTGTGGGCCAGCCCTCATCCACCCATCACTCCCTGTGGCTGTGGGCCAGCCCTCATCCACCCATCACTCCCTGTGGCTGTGGACCAGCCCTCATCCACCCATCACTCCCTGTGGCTGTGGACCAGCCCTCATCCACCCATCACTCCCTGCTGCCAGAGATAAAGGTACATGAACTCAAAGACTCAGAGAAGTTCAGTTGGGAGGAGATGGTCAAGTGTCTCTCTGTCTGTGTGTCTCAGGGGAATCCAGAGATAAATTTGGCCACAGGGTTTCAGTTATGTTCAGGAGTTTGGATTTTATCCTAAGAATGCTGCAGAGCTTTAAGAAGTGCACTCTGGCTAGTCCAGGGCAGGAGGAGCAAGACTGGTGGTACAGAGATCAGGCAGGACAGGTCCCGACGGCCGAGAGAGAGGAGAGAAGTAGGCAGGCTCAGGCTAGTGGATGTTGCTTCTTCCTTTCCCTCAGGCTCAAAGAGCCTAGGCCACCATAGGAGGAATGGCCACCGCTGAGCCCCAGGGAGAAGCAGAGAAGGCCATGTGAGTAGTTGCCACCCCGCAGCCTGCCCTCTTTGGCCACTTTAGTTGCAGCTGTGGACCAAGCAATGAGAGCAATGAGACTCATCTCACCTTTCCAGCATTGTGTTGGTCTGTGCCTCCTGAGTCCACCACCCCGAACCCCTTTATTACCATTACCATGGAAAGACAGTGTCTACCAGACACTTACCCCATTAGCAGGAAGTCAGTCTGTGTGGCTTACAAACCTATTACTGAAGACTAACAAGGACTGCCAAGACCTGACCCTTAAGAGAAAGTTCTACAATTTGAAACCACATGTGTAGTAGGTTGGGGAGTTGAGGCGGGCAATTGCCACACTATATAAGCATGAATGTGTGGTTGATGCATCATGTAACGTATGAAGGGAAGTCAAAAAGTATGGCTACAAAGTCTTAGAAACCTTCATTAAACAAAAATTCAAAAATGTGAAAATATTGTTTCTCAACATATTCTCCACGTCAGTCTACACACTTCTAAAGGCTAAACTACAGCCATCTACAAATCGAAGAAACGTGTTTAAATGAATTCTGTATGGAATGAACCCTTTCCTCTAGGAAGTGGAACATGTGTAGCAATACTTTTTGACTTTCCATCATACAAGCACAGCAAGTGACCACATCCTGGTTTAAAACTTTACACTTCCATTTGGAAATAAAAACCTATATTTTATATTAGTTACACTTAACTTTTAAGGAAGAATCATGTAAAAACAACAACAACAACAACAAAAACCTTACAGCCAAATCAGAAGGCCAGAGGTTTACTAGAGTTAGTTGAGACTTCCATATCATTTTACCATATAGTTAAAAAAAAAAAAAAATCCGATGAATCCATTTAATGTAATGGATTTGAGCCTTTGTGTGGTATACACGTACCTAGGTCCTGGGTGTGAGCTTTTTCTTGTCCCTCCACGTATAACATGCTATACCCCGTCCAGAGCTTGGGCATGCCCAGGGGACAGGCAGGCTCTCGATCTGTCTGACTGTGGAGAACCAGGAGGAAGCCACTGAGGTATCCAGGTCCAAACCCTTTGGGCCCAGGATCCCCAATGGGGCCAGGAGGGCCTGGAGGTGTAAAGAAAACAATGAGGGCATTTTAAGGGGTTCCATTAGCAAACATTTCCATGTACTGTGTAAGCAGACAGCAAAGCCACCCGCATCCTGGGAATGCTGCCTCACATAACTGCAGGAATACAAATGTCTAGGTGGTTGGGATCCAGGCATATAAAAATAGAAAACAGCTCCACTGGGGATCACCTTTCAGCCGAATAACAGACAGGCCAATAAAGTGAATTCTAAACACCAGGAGTCCTGGTGTGGCGCTGTGTGTTAATGCGCTGGGCTGCATGGTAGGTTTGAACCACAGGTCGGTGATTCAAGCTCACCAGCCACTCCTAGGAAACCCTATACAGGGTCGCTATGAGTTGGAACCTACTCGATGGCACTTAACTACAACAGCAAATAAAGTGAATACTAAATACCAGGAAGGAATCAACCAGAGGAGACCCAAAGGGCAGCATGTGCCCAAAACAAGGCTCAGAAGGCAGAAAGGGGTTGGAAAGAAAGACAGATGGAAACTGGGCATGGGAGGAGTGAAGAGTGGAAGTGGAGGGCCTTGTTACATTGAGGGAGATTGCAATGCATGCCAGGAAATGAAATGCAAGTAACTTGTTGAATGGGGAACTGATTTGCTCTGTAAACTTTCCCGCAAACTACCATAAAAAGTAAACAAAGAAGCAAGAACAGTTCCCTGGCCTCCCAGTATTAAAAAACAAACACACACAGTTCCTGCCCTGTGGAGCTTACCTTCTACTTCACAAACAGTAAGTGTTATAAAAATCCGATGCTGAAACATAAGTGCTGAGAAGTAAAGAGCTAGAACAGGGTGCTAAGACACCCCGCGTGTGACCCCTGGGCTCCTGAGATTGGACTGGGATCCCGCCCATCAGAGAAGGAGATTCTTAGTGGGCAGCCTTACACCTCCCAGTCTTTCGTGGTCTCATTCTAAGGACAATGACTTGGCCACCACTTTGCTTTTTTTGTTTTAACTGTGAATATTTACAGAGATGACTCATTTTTCATTCAACAAGTAAATTAGCTGCAATCTCCTCAATGCTGTTCCCCTTCCCACTTTCTTCTTGGTCTCCCTGTGTCCATTTTGCCTCTCTTTCCTGCCCCGTCCTCTGTCTGAACTTTGTTTGGGGGCAAATGCCACCTTTTTGGTCTTGTATAGTTGTGTGTTCTAAGAGTTATGTTCCTGACGGCATTGTGTTCACTTTGTAGGTTTGTTGTAGTTTGGCTGAAGGGTGATCCCTGGGGGTGAGATCAGGTCCAAGTGTGAAGGGAGTTTAAGAACTCTCTTTGGGCTTGGGTACCACTTTGGCCCTCTTCCTTTTTAGGGAAGAAAGCTAGGAGGAAAGCCTAGTTCTACATTCAGGTTGGCAGATGGACCTCCCTGTTCAGAACAGTGCTACAGAATGCCAGCAGGAGCTGTCTTTAGTACCTGTCAGGGGCTGCCTGATTAAAGAAGGCCCCTGGCTCTTTCTAAATTCCAGGAACAAAAGGAAAAGTGAGACTTTGAAACCAAAGGGGTTTTTGTAAACTTGTCTCTGGAAGACTGGCAGGTTGTCCCCATCTACACTATAAATTAGAGATTACAAACTAGTAGCTTGTGAACTGAATAAGAACTGCTCATTTCTTTGTTCAATCTGTCTAGATTTTGCACAGTGAGATTTGGAACTCAAAGGCAGAGTGTAGGCTATCCTGGACTCATGTTATGTGGCTACAATTGGCCAAAACTGAGTTCAGCGGCCTCTTTGCAGCCTTTACGATGAAGGTTCCATTTTGCCAAAGGCTCACCCAGCCCTCTTCATTCCCTCTCATTATGAACGTGGTATTCAATCCGCTGCCATGGAGTTGATCTCGATGCATGGTGACCCTGCACAGGGTTTCCAAGGCTATAAATCTTTATAGGAGTAGCAAGTGTCCACTTTCTCCCCTGAAGTGGCTGTTGGGTTTGAATGGACAGCCTTGTGGTTACTGTTGTTGGTGTTAAATACTGTCGAGTGAGCTATAACTCATCGTGATCCTGTGTGGGGTTCCTGAGGAGCAGTTGGTGGGTTTGAACTACAGAGTTTGTGTGGTTAGCAGTCCAGCGCTTCTCCTATGGCAGCAGCCAGTGTCTAGTAACATGGTATTAGAATTCACAGGGGCATAAAGATTGCTACCCTAGACATTAGTCAACTGAAGTGGGCTGGTCAGGTCCTGCTCATCTGATAATCAGACTATCTATCTACTGTTCTGGGACTACAAGAACAAAAACCCAATCTGTCAGGAAGAATGCTCCTTAGAAGCTATGATGGCAAGACTTCATCTCACATACTTCCGAGATGTTGTCAGGAGGGACGAGTCCCTGGAGAAGGGCATTGGGATCACTAAAGTTTTGTGTCAGTTTGGCTGGATTCTCCAAAACTGAGCAGTTAAGATGCAGATAACACCTCCATGATGAGATCTCATCGAATGCAAGAACCCCATGATATGCTCTCAGGTGATCATCTTTGGTCTGATTCATTATACTGTGTTGTAACTCCTCCCTTCTCTAATGTTGATGAGATCAGGTGCAATATACAGGATTAGGTGCATATTACATCAATCTCTTTTGAGATATAAAAGGAGAGAGAAGTGAGTAGAGCTCAGAGGGACCTACTGCCACTAAGACAGAAGAGCTGGGAGTGGATTCTTTGGACCTGGGATGTCTGCACTGGAAAGCTCCTAGATCCCAAGGAATATTGATACCAAGACAGATGGAGAACTCCAAGGAATGCTGGACCTACATATGCCGAAAGGAGACTTGTGCTCTGAATTAGGACTTCCAGTCTCCTCAACTGAGAGAGACTGAAGTTCTGGTTGTGAGAGGAATCCACATGTGGTTCTATCTGTTACAGTAGCACTAGATGACTAAGACCGGCATCATGTCTGGTAAAACAGTGGTCAGTGAATGAAAGGAAGACCCTCAGTGAGATGGAATGACACAGTGGCAGCAACATTGGGCCCAAGCAATGATTGTGAGGATGAGGCAGGACTGGGCAGTCTTTTGTTCTGTTGTACACAGGGTCTCTGTGACTAGGAAGTGACTCGATGGCACCTAACCAATTAGAATTTACACTCCTTGCCGGAGACTGCAGGTCTTTGTGTCCCCAGTGCCTAACACACTGCCCCAATGCATAATGTCTGAAGTTCTATTCTGTAGAGTCCTGTGTCTCTAGCCCCAGGTCCCAACCAACTCTCTTGCTCTCAATTTTTTTTTTTTTTTTTTTTCAAGAAAGGGTTTTCTGGATGGCTGTATGGTAGATTAAGTAAACCCAGGGGTTCAGCCAGCTGTAAGGGTGAGAACGTACCACCCCATTCCCCAAGATCTCCAGCACATCTCCAAGAAGACCTTCCCCATGGCTACAGGTCCTTCATTACCTTGTAGATATGAACTACAGAGTGGTTGGGAAAGAGACTCAACTGGAAAGAAGGAACTGACTAGTTTTTATAACTGTTTAACATGTGTTAAGGGGCTCTGGTAAGGAGCTCTGGTAGCGTAGTGGTTACGAATCGGGCTGCGAACCTTAAGGTCAGCGGTTCGAAACTACCAGCCGCTCCGCGGGAGAAAGATGAGGCTTTCTACTCCCGTAAGGATTTACACCCTCGGAAACCCTGTACAGGGTCGCTATGGGTCGGAACCGACTCGACGGCACTTAACAACAACAACAAGGGGCTCTGGTAGCACAGTGGTTAAGTGCTCAGATGCTAACCAAAAGGTTGGCAGTTCCAACCCACCAGCCACTCTACTGGAGAAAGATGTGGCCATCAGCTTCTATAAACAGCTTAGAAACTCTATGGAGCAGTTCTATTCTGTCTTTGGGACCACTGTAAGTCAGAATCAATTTGAGGCTATCTGTTAAACCATGGGTGTGCATCCCATTCTGTCTGTCTCCCTAATATCAGGGGAACGGGGCTCTAAGGTCAGAGGTTTTCATAGGATCCAGTATGGAACAGTTGCAAAGGTTAGGGATCTTGTATATGGTTTTCAGAGAAAGGGGACATGGCACATTCTTACCTGGTGCTCCAGGATAGCCAGCTTCTCCCATGTCACCTTTCCGTCCCAAAGGCCCCGGTGTCCCTGGAAAGCCCGGCTTGCCCTGCTTGCCGTCCATCCCAGGCTGTCCTTTGCACACTGCAGAGAAGTTCTTCATGTTGGAGATGATGTAGAGCCATGGTACCTGCTACCTGTCTCTGCGTGTCCACCCTGGGCCAGCGCTGGTCTCTGCACTCCCCAACGAGTCCTCCCAGCTTGATGGGGTTGAGATTATACTACCTGCACTCTGTGAACCACAGGTCAGCAGTTCAAACCCACCAGCTGCTCCTTAGAAACCCTATACAGGGTCGCTATGAGTTGCAAACTTAACAACAACAACTTTGCAGCCTGGGTCAGGAAGCCTCTGAAACATCAAACAATGCTGCAGGTCAAAGAGCTGGTAAAGGGCAGAGCTGGGATTTGAAGCCAGACCAGGGAGGTGCTGAGAGGGAGGTTTTTGCATTGTCTTTATAATCTTAGGGATTTTATTTATTTTTCTTATGGTGGTGCAGTGGTTAAAACTCTTAGTTGCCAACCAAAAGGTCAGTGAATGGAACCCCCCAGCCTCTCCGAGGTCAAAAGATGTGGCAGTCTGCTTCTGGAAAGATGACAGCCTTGGAAAGCCTCTAAGGCCATTCTGCTCTGGAGTCCTGGTGTGGTGCTGTGGGCTAATGCATCCGACTGCAAAGTCATCTGAACTGCAAGGTCAGTGGTTCAAGCTCACCAGCCGCTCCTTGGAAACCCTATCAGGGTTGCTATGGGTCAGAACCGACTTGATAGCACTTAACAACAACAACAACTATAGGGCCGCTAAGAGTTAGAATTTTACTGGACAGTGATTTTTTTTGTATTTGACTTTTGTGTTTTACACGGTGGACAGACTTGAAAATCTGCTCTCATAAGAGCAGAGCCAAGAAAACCCAGCAGAGGAATGCTGGCCCAGTGGATTGGCTCTTCCCACACCAGCCCTCACTCTCTCCACCTTGTCTGTGTTGAGTCTTGACAAATCATTAAAGACACCTGTGGTTGGGAACAACCCTATCACAACAGAATGAAAAAGCGCCCGGTCCTGTGCCATGCTCACAACTGTTTTCACACTTGAGCCCACTGCCAATGCGTCCAGCCATCTCCTTGGGGTTTCTCTCTTGTATGCTGACACTCCACATTATCAAGCATGGTGTCCTTCTCTAGGAACTGGTCCCTCCTGATAACATGTCTGAAATATGAGAGATGAAGTCTCAAAATCCTGGCTTCTAAGGAGTTTTCTGGCTGCACTTCTTCCAATACAGATTTTTTTTTTTTTTTTTTAGCAGTCCATGGTACCTTCAATATTGTTCTATAACAACAAATGCATAAATTCCCCTACAGTCTTCCTTATTCATTATATAACTTTCACACACATATGTTTGTTGTTCAGTACTGTTGAGCTGATTCTGACACATGCTCAAGAGAACACCGCCCCATCCTGCACCATCCTAACAACCATTGTTAAGCTTGAGCCCACTGCTGCTGCCGCTGTGCCAATCCTCATTAGGGGTCTTCCTCTTTTTCGCTGACCCTCCACTTTACCTAGCATGATGTTCTTCTCCAGAGACTGGTCCCTCCTGACAACATGTCCGAAGTATGAGACACAAAATCTCGCCATCCTTGCTTCCAAAAAATACTCTGGTTGTATTTCTTCCAACACAGATCTGTTTGTTCTTCTGGCAGTCCATGGTACTTTTAATATTCTCCTCCAACACCATAACTCAAATGCATCAATTCTTTTTTAGTCTTCCTTATTCACTGTCCAACTTTTACAGCATATGAGCTTATTGAAAATACCATGACTTGGGTCAGGAGCATCTTAGTCTTCAAACCAGTGGGTGCCTTTTCTCTTGAACACTTTTAAGAGGTCTTGTGCAGTAGAGCTGCCTAATACAATACATTGCTTGATTTCTTGACTGCTGCTTCTATGAGCATTGATTTTTGGATCCATGCAAAATGAAGTCTTTGGGAAAACTTCAATCTTTTCTGCATTTATCATGATGTTGTTTATTGGTCCCATGCTGAGGACTTTTTATTTTCTTTACATCGAGGTGCAATTCATGCTGAAGGCTGTGGTCTTTGGTCTGCATCAGTAATTGCTGTTAAAAACACACCTCCAGGCTTCTCTTCTGCTTAGTGGGTGAGGAGGATGGTCTTGGCCAGATTCACCAAACACTGCTCCTGCATCTTACTTCTTCCTTAGCACTTGCTACCATCTATTAGTACCTTGTTTACTTGGTACTCGCTCAACATCCATTTCTTGCTGCTAGAATATAAGCTTCATGAGAAACAGAACTCTGTTTTTTTCTCAGCTCTGTTTCCAGCTTTGAGAATAATGCCTGGCAGAGGTAGGTGCTCACTAACGCTCTGATGAATGAGACGGGATGGGTGAATAAAAAGAAAGTTATGACTCGTATTCCCAGAAATACTTTACCAGAAAGAAAGAGCTCGGGTAGTGTAGTGGGTTACGAGTCGGTCAGCAATTACAAACCACCAGCCGCTCCACAGGAGAAAGAGGAGAATATCTGCTCCCATAAAGATTTACAGTCTGGGAAACCCTACAAAGGGTCACTGTGAATAGGAACCAACTCCATGGCACATAACCACCACCACTACTGTAAATTCCTGCTTACCATGAAAATCCTCTTTTCATAAAATACTTTGCAAAATCAGTAGGCTGAAAAACATCTCATTTTCATTTCTATGAATACCAACAAAATTGAACGTTCTAAAATGAAAACAAAACCCTATGGGACAGTTCTAGTCTATCATATGGGTTTTCTATGAGTCGGAATCTACTCATTGGCACCCAATAATAATGGCAGAGAGGAAACCTCTAGTTCTCCACACCAGACAGAGAAGCGCTCTTCTTCTTTCTAGAAACTGAGGCAAAACCTCTTTCTAGGTGACACTGCTGGGTGCCAGTTGGGTGCCATTTTCCACCAGCTTCACAGATAACATGGGTTCTGTGGGGAATGACCCTAAGGGTGAGCTGAAGGTGCTCCTTTTCCTGTCCCCAGCAGGTGATACCAATATGTGGTCCCTGTACCAAGTGCTGACAAGCCAAAGGGCCTATGGGTAAGAATGTTGTCTTTTTGATAAAAAGGCCGCAGGCGTTCCTCCAGTTGTGACGAGATCACTGAGTTCCCACACCAGATGTGATGCTGTAGGCTCTGTTCACTGAGAGGAAGACACAGCGAGACTGTCAGACTGATGGCATTTCCCAGGAGGCAGGAAGGAGCCTGTGGCGAACCGCGGTTCTGCATCCGGTGCTTTCCACTATGTGGACCAGATCTTATTTGGAACTTGCTTTAAGGACAAAAACTACATCTTAAAAGCTTCCCTGTGGAGGAGAGCCTCTGCTGACAAGGTCACGCATTGACTTGAAGATAAACACAAGACTAACAGGATGTGAGGCCATCCATGGAGCTGGAGCAGTCAAAGAAAATGGAACCACCTTCATGTTCTTTACAGGTACCCTGTGGTTTTGAGGGCCACCCTGAAAAAGCTGGCAGTCAAATAGCTCTGTGACTAGAAGAGTCTTACACCTTCTTTGGTGGAGAACTCCTAACAGACAAGAGTTGGATTTAGTATGTCTGTTGCCTACTTCTAGAAGGCAGGAAGCTGCCAATGTTTGTTTTGTGGGGGGCTTTTTCTTTCTTTTCTGTCAGATCTCAGCTGCAGCACTTGATTGCAGGGTCAGCTTAGCACTGAAAGAGGACGTCTGAAGAGAAAGGAGGAAGACATGCACAATGCAGTTTTCAGGAGAGTTCATTCTCTTCACCACCAATCTTGACAGTGGCAGCTACAGGCTCGCCACATGACTGCCTAAGTCTCCATCAGAAACAGATGGATATCATTATCTGTTGCAACAAGCAACAAAACACAGATGACCCACGTCAGTTAGAACTGAGACTGTAGACTCTCAGCAAAAGCATGTCACACTCTTTGGTTAATACAGTCACAGAATCCAGCAATAGGGGTCCTTTATAGCCAGAGCCTCTGGGAATTCAGCATAACTTTTTGAATAATTCAACCCATGATGCCTTGGCATTGAGTCGATTCGGACTCATCGCGACCCTGTGGAGCAGAGTAGAACGGCCTCATAGGGTTTCCAAGGCTGTAAATCTTTACAGAAGCAGACTGTCACATCTTCCTCCACTGGAGTGGCTGGCGGGTTTGAACTGCCGACCTTTTTGTTAGCAACCAAGCACTTAATCATAGAGCCACCAGGGTTCCTATTCAACTCACAAATAGCAAAGTTGGCTCTGACTCATATCTCCCAGTTGTCACACTAACCGGCTCTGCCTGTGCCCTGCTGTCTCCCTGACAGTCGATTCTTATACACACATGGAGTTGAAAAAGGAAGAAATAATTTGACAACATTTTTAGTTAATTGTGGATTTCTTCCTTGTTATTCAACCAAAACACAACAAAAAGTTAGTGTCTTTGTCCTGGTGTGGCACTGTGGGCTAATGCGACAGACTGCAAAGTCGTTTGAACTGCAATATTGGTAAACCCTATACAGGGTTGCTATGGGTTGGAATCAGCTCGATAGCTGCTCCCATAAAGATTTACAGCCTCAGAAACCTTGTACAGGGTCACTATGAGTCGATTCCAACTCCATGGCGCAAAACCACCACCACAACAGAAGCCCTATACAGGGTCGCTATGATTTGGGACCGACTCAACGGCACTTAACAACAACAACAACAAACACAGAGGCCAAGCAGACAATACTAACAACAACAAATACTTATATTCATTTGAAGATGGTTCCAGAACTGTCTTGGACACTGCCCTAGACTCCAGCTGAGAGGTGTCCTTAGTAACTAAGGGTTTGGAGAAACATGAGAAAAACATGTTTATGATGCAAAATTCAGTTCTACTTCCAATTCCTTCGGCCCTGAGCCCCAAAGAGACAGAGGCAGAGCTGGACGTGGAAGGACTGGGAAAGAAGGGCCTTGCTGCTCTTCAGCTGGGGTGCACATGTGCAATCAAGGCCCTGGGCATTGCGGGTCTGAAGAGATTGGAAACCTCTAGACTACCAGCTCCACACTCCATAATCTTTTTGTAAACCACCCAAACAATAAGCCACCTGGTAAGCACTTGGTAAATACTTCACTAGGGATTCTATTCTGATACCGTCACACAAAAAAACCAACAACCCACTGCCATCAGGCTGACTCCTGCTCACACCAACTCTTCCCAAAGATGGGACAATTCTCAGGCCTGTGAAGTGAATCCAGTAGTTGGTACTCCATTTCCCTTTCCTCCTCAGGAAGGCATAACTCTTCTTTGTAGGTTCCATTTCAGCTCCACCAAGTCCCAACTCTATGGCTTTTTTATTTTGTACCTTTTCACTTCAAAATCAACTCAACAGCTATTAGTGACAATGAATAAATGAGCCCATACTCATTTGTGTTTTTCTTGTTAGGTTGATGCCATGGAATTGATTCTACTCATGATGACCCATGCGTTCAGAGCAGAACTGTGCTCCATCAGGGTTTTCAAGGCTGTGACCTTTCAGAAGCACATTGCCAGGCCTGTCTTTGAAAGTGTATCTGGGTGGGTTCGAACTGCCAACCTTTCAGCTAGTCATCACAAAGCCCCACCTATAAAAGCTGGACAAGTATAAAATATTTAAGTAGGTGTTTGACCTAAAAATAGCAGAGGTGTTGATCCACTTAGTACATGATTAAGCAGAGAAAAGGTTTAAAGTGAAGGAAATTTGCGCTGTTTCATCCTCACCAGTTTTCAGGATTCATACAAAAAACTACACAGCAAAACATGGAGACTTTGGTTTCAGTAACATCTTTTGTAAATAATGAACAACCACAGTAAGACTCATACCTGGCCCTGGGTGACCTCTCATTCCAGGGATCCCCATGGCTCCCTCTGGTCCTCTTGGGCCCGGCACCCCAGGAAGCCCTGGGATTCGGGGGCAGGCATCTGCATCTGCAGGTGGCCCAGGTTCACCTGAAATCAGAATCATCACAGTAGGACGAATTCAAATGCTTTTGAACAAGCATCTTCTACATCTGCCAAGTAAAGATGGATTCCTGACGTGATGCTGACATTTCAACCAGAATGTTCAACAACCCAATCAGTGTACGTTGCTGGAAGCCAATGACTGACTATATCTTGTTCATTGGGAGGTACCAGAAAATCTTTGTTGAATACATAAATGAATGAATGAATGAATGAATGAATGAATGCATGAATGAAATATCAGGAGAAGCAGAAGAACTCTGAAGTTGGGGGACTGGTCAAGGCAGCAAAGAATATGGTGACATTCAGAAGATTTCCAAACTTTGGGTCACTTTTTTATGGGGGTACCAGCTACAATGGCATTGGTGAAGGGGCTAGTGGGTCTCGGAAACATACTCATGTCTCCCCAAGTTATTCCTTCATATGGTGGTCAGGTGGGTTTCCACAGAGCCAAGTACTCAACTAGAGAGAATTTTAGGATTGCTAGAGGCAGGAGTCAGAATCAACCCACGACAACTGGCAAAGTTGTACAGTGGTGATTCTCAGCCTTGAGCGCACGCTGGAGCCGTCCAGCGACGTTGTGCAAATCTACATAGCCTTTGGCACTACCAGCACACCAGGTATGTTGCAACACCACTTACTAAATGCATTCTCATGGATGAGACCCTATGCTAAGTGTTTTACTATTAAATCCATCCAACAAGCCTGCATATGTACTAGTGCTATTAGGATGTTACAGATGAGAAACAAGCTCAGATAAAAGACTGACTTATCCAAGTTACGCAGCTAACACGTGTCAGAGTCCAGATGAAAGCCCAGGATGCTCTGGTTCCAAACATGTGCCCCCATAACCACACCATATTGCCTCAAAAATTACTAATGTCTGTGGGATGAATTCTAAGCAATGGAACGTATTTTAAAACCCACCATTTGATGAATTATGGGTGTTTTGAAAATCATACATGTGTGCAAAGTCCTTTTAAGAATAAATATAAAGCAGCAAGAAAATGCTAGGAAAAAATGTGACCACAACAAGCAATCTGTAGTCTATGTATTACTTAATGTGCCTGTTCAACGCAGACCTGGACTCTTAGGTGTTTGGAATTAAATCCCTTGTAGGTGCGGCACTCTGTAGCGTAGTGGTTACAAATCGGGCTGCTAATCTCAAGGTCAGCAGTTTTAAATTACCATCCGCTCCATATGAGAAAGATGAGGCTTTCTGCTCTCATAAAGATTCACAGCCTCAGAAATCCTGTACAGGGTTGCTGAGTCGGAACTGGCTCCACGGCACATAACCACCACCATCACCAGGTGTGGCACTGTGGGCTAATGCGCTGGACTGCAAGTTTGATTTGAACCACAAAGTTAGAGGTTCAAGCTCACCAGTCGCTCTTTGGAAACCCTATACAGGTTCACTATCATTCGAACCGACTTAACGGCACTTAACAACAACAACAAGATGTAGTATGAAGCCACAAGCAATGCTAGGGCCATGTGCATGTTTACAGCATGTACAGTGTAATATAAAATGTGGCTTCACTCCGTTCTGAGAGGGCTGCCTGGGGACACTGCCTGTGGTCCCTGAAATAACCTGGGCCTTTCACTACAAGGTGGGAGGAGGGGTCAGAGAAGACAAGAAAGGGGAAGAAAACATTTGACTGGAGTTTCATTCCAGTATTTAGACTTTTGATGTTATCTTTAAATGAGTTGATAACACACAGGCACAGAGATACAGTGGTGGTCGTTGTGGTTGTGTGCCGTGGAGTCAGTTCCGACTCATAGCGACCCTGTACAGGGTTTCTGAGGCTGTAAATCTTTACAGGAGCAGAAAGCCTGAACTTTCTCCCGCAGAACAGCTGGTAGTTTCGAACTGCTGACCTTGCGGTATGCAGCCCGATTTGTAACCACTACACAGAAGCATTAAATGAGATCTTGCTATAAGTCCCATTACAATTTTTCAATGTTGTTGTTAGGTACTGTTGAGTCGGTTCTGACTCATCACAACCCTACGCACAACAGAACGAAACACTTCCGGGTCCTGTGCCGTCCTCACACTCGCTGCTGCCACTGTGCCAATCCATCTCGTTTGGGGGGTGGGGGGGGGTCCTTCCTTTTTTTTTTGCTGACTCCCCACTTTATCAAGCATGATGTCCTTTTTCAGGGACTGGTTCCACCACATAATTTGTCTGAAGTAAGAGAGAGGTCTCGCCATTCTGGCTTCTAAGGACCACTCTAGCTACACTGGATGGACTCCTTCCAATGATTTTTCAACACAAACATTAAAACAGCACAATTTTTTTTTTTCCATTCATATTTGGCTTTTCTTGACTTCTTATTAAACCAGAGGCTGAAAGAAAATGATGAGACCTCACTTCTAGGAGTCCTACAAGCAGTCCATGGGGTCTGTAGTCTGGACAATGATCATACTTTCATGAGGCTCCTGGTGTGGTACTGCAGGATCAGCATTGCACTGCTAACTGAAAGGTGGGAAGTTCAAACCCACCATCTGCTCCTGGGAAACCCTATATAGGGTCACTGTGAGTCAGAACTGACTCGATGGCACTGAAGGCTTAATAACACACCTGACAACAAATTCAAGCATTCACAATGTTTGTTTTTCCTTTTCCTTTGAAAAACGCTTGCTATTGGGTGGATACAAATTCATATGCTGTTGTTGCGTTAAGAGAAAATGAAGCAAAAACCCAGCCTTGTCTTTTGAAGACACACAGAAATGTTTAGGAACACTGTGTGTGTGGTCATATCCCCTTTGGTGTTAAGAGCCCTTCTTTGAAACTTTTTAGTATGCGTTGAGTGAAGGTTTACAAAGAAGATCATGAGTTTTATATTCAATAAATCCTACACTTTATTTCATCTCATTGATTGGAATCCCCTCCATGGAACCACAGTTATCCAGCTTCCTCCCTGTGATTCCTATTTCCAGTCCACCCTCCATCCCATCACTTCTCAACTTAGGTAACGGTTGACCTTTTGATCTTGAGTTGCCCCTAAGCCCGGCAACTCATTGTTTCAATGTGTATGGTAATGTCTAAGTTGTGTAAACTAATGTCCTTAGGTAACGGTTGACCTTTTCATCTTGAGTGGCTGACCATTCCATGGAGAGCATGGTTTACTAAAGTTATTGCCCACCCACCCCACTCCCCCATATATCTATCTACTGTTTGTCTAAAAATTGGGCCAAGAAGAGGAGTTCCATTTCAGATCTAAAAGGTGATTGAGGGCAGGAGTCTTGGTTCCTCCAGACTCTTTCTAACCAGTAAGCCAGTTTTTGTTTTTAAATTAAATCATTTTGAATACTCCCCCTACATTTTCTTCTATTAGATCCAGGACCTTCTAATGTGATTCCTTGTAGAGCAGTTGGTAGTGATAGCTGGGTACCATCTAGTTCTTCTGGTTTCAGAGTCACCATGGTGACTGATGTTCACCTGCTGCACTGGTCCACTGGACTAGTTGATTTCAAACATCTTCAATTCTCATCACTCATTCTTCGTACATGGGAGAGTCCAATAGTTACATCTTATATGGCCACTCGAAAGCTTTTAGATCCCAGTCACTACTCACCAAAGCAGAATGTAGAAAGTAGAACCTTGTCTTTGTGGACTATGTTATGCCCATTGATCATGGTGCCCCCTAAGACTATGGTCCTGAGCCCCTAAGCCCAGCAACTCATTGTTTCAATGTGTATGGTAATGTCTAAAAGTTTTCCTCATTTTGTTCCTGAATGCTCCACCACATTCATAAGTGTGCTTGAAGCAAAGGTAAATTATTGTTGTTAAGTGCCATCAAGTCGGTTCTGACTCATAGCAGCCCTGTATAGGATTTCTGAGGCTGTAAATCTTTGTGGGAGCAGAATGTCTTATCTTTCTAGTGCACTTGAACCACTGACCTTGTGGCTTGAAATCCAATGCTTATTCTAGAGACACCATGCTCTCGCAAAGATAAATGTTGCTGTTAGGTACTGTTGGGTTGGTTCTGATTTACAGGGACTCTATGTACAACAGAACAAAATATTGCCCAGTCCTCTGCCCTCTTCACAATTGTTTCTATGCCTGACCTCACTGCTGATGCCACTGTGCAATCTATCATATTAGTGGTCTTCCTCTTTTTCTCTGACAGTCCACTTAATCAAGCATGATGTCGAGACTGGTCCCTCCTGATAATATGTCTGAAGTACGAGAAACAAAGTCTTGCCATCTTGTCTTCTAAGGAACATTCTGGCTGTACTTTTTCCTGCACAGATTTGTTTGTTCTTCTTCATAACTCAAATCCATCAATTTTATGGTCCTCCTTATCCATTGTTCAACTTTCACATGAATAGGAGGTTATTGAAAATATCATGTCTTGCTTGGGTCAGGTACACCGTAGTCTTCAAAGTGACATCTCTGTAAATACTTTAAAGAGGTCTTGTGCAGCAGATTTGTGTAATGCAACACATCATGTGATTTCTTGACTGCTGCTTCCATGGGTGTTTAGAGTGGATCCAAGCAAAAGGAAGCTTTCTCCATTTATCATGATGTTACTTACTGGTTCAGTGGTGAGGATTTTTGTTTTCTTCACACTGAGGTGTAACCCATACTGAAAGCTGTGGTCTTTGATCTTTATCAGTATGTATGTTAAGAACCATTCACTTTCAGAAAGCAAGGTTGTATGTATCATCTGCATATCATAGGTTGTCAATGAGGTTTCCTCCAATACTGATGTCACCTTTTTCATATAACCCATCTTCTCAGACTATTTGCTCAGCATACAGATCGAATGAGTATGGTGAAAGAATACAACACTGGGGCACACCTTTCCTGATTTTAAACCATTCAGTGTCCCCTTGTTCTGTTCGAACAACTGCCTCTTGGTCCATGTACAGGTTCCTCATGGACACAATGAAATGTTCTGGAATATCTATTCTTCACAATGTTGTCCATAGCTTGTTATGAGCCACATAGTCGAAAGCCTTTGCATAGTCAATAAAGCATGGATAAACATCTTTCTGGTATTCCAGCTTTCCACCAAGATCCATTTTACATCAGCAATGATATCCCTCATTCCATGTCCTTGTCTAAATCCAGCTTGAATCTCTGTCAGTTCCCTGTCAATATACTGTTGCAGATGTTTTTGAAATATCTTTTAAAAAAAAAAAAAAAAAACTTTCTTTCCATGTGATATGTAAATATTCATGTACAAATATCCTGTCAAACCCTCATGTATTTGTGAGTATATGCCCACCTCCCTCCCACACCCATTGTATTTGTATGTATGTATCTATATATCTGTCCCTGTAGAATACATTGCTACAGGGCTGCATATCTAACAGTATTTACCTCTATCCCCTTTAACCCTTGCATTCTTCACTATGTCTTCACCTTTCTTTCTCCTTCTTCTGCCAACCTCCCTCTTGCCTTCCCCATCACCTGAACACACATGTGTTTAAGGGGCCCATTTTTTAGTATTATTGATACCACTTATTTTAGGGATGTTCTGTGTATTTCTATGGTAGAACTTAGAAAAGGATCTCATACTGGTCTATTCTGTAGCAACTGACAGAGGAAACACTAAGATTTTGTGCTTTAAATGAAACTATGTATGCACAGTTCTTACATTGCCTCTACAACCTATAATGAAGCTCAGATCTGGACACTCTAATTTGAGGTTACTATATCTGTAGCTGGGAAGTAAGGCTTTAAAACCTAAGAGAGTTACAGAAACCCACCTCTAGGAATGTAACAACATTTAACTCACAAATTCAGCAGGAAGTCAAGGGTAGAAATGGCAAGGAACCATATTTAGGAGAAATGATTAATTTTACAGTACTGCTTACCCCTGGAACCTGCAGAATTGTGAAGCCAAGAATCCCAGGCCAGGAGATGATTTTCATGTGGAGGAGAGAGATGTGAAATTTGTGAATTAGGACAAAAGGGAAATAGAGTGCTAAAGAACACATTATTGAGGATAGCCACAATGACAAGCTGGATGACAGCATCCTGCTTACATCAAAAGTCAACATCAAAGCTACTGACAGCAAGAGCTCTGATTTAGCAATGGCATTTTCCTAGCTAGGAATATTGGAAGGAAATTCTCCTGAGCAATATAAACGCTTAATCGATTTCTTGCAGCAAACATGTCCTAATCTAATATACATAAAAGGTCTGTCTATTTGAAGGTTTTGAAACATTCCATATTAATTTGGCAAGTTTTATGGGTTATGCACAGTAAGGAAATACAAACTGAATCACACTCCAAGTCTGTGATACTATACTACTGTACTGTTATAAATTTATCATTCGTCATACAACAGTGCCGTCTGTTTGTTCTATACACTTGAGTGCTAATTTAGGAGATTACAAAATACTCTGAACTGATACCACATTACCATAATATTGATTTAGGATCTCAAAAGATATTATTTCTGCCAGTCTCCAATGAACAATTCCGTGTGACCATCCTCTTCCCAACCCAGCCTTGGCTTATTTTGACCGATAATGAAAAAGTGTTATCTATGGAGTTTAAATTGAGTAGCCTTTGACCTTTATATGGGAACTCACATCCTTCACAGAAACTTTTAAATAAAACATCTCAAAAAAATCAATGGGAATTTAGGGATATGCATCAGATATACAGCCCTAATACCCACAATAATAAAATCATTCTCTGCCTCTTGCTTAAGGGAATGCACACATATGTATACATTTATGGCACCGACAGTCTTTATTGGTGGCAACAGTAAGTGATACAAGGTGGGAACGACAGCTCCTGCTTCCCAGAAGCCGTTCAGAGTCTAAGTTGTTGCCCTGGAAAGCCAGAACACATATTTATTTACCTTAGAAATATATGTAAAATCACCCTCATGTTCAATATTTACTTGTGCTGTTAAGAAGTATCCATTTACCAAGCATGACACTTTGTAGTGCAACTTTTTATAAATATACTCTTTATATCCCAAAGTGGCAAATTCATAAACGTGTTGGTCAGTTCAGCAAATGTACTACTCAGTGAAACATGACCATCATATAAATGTTTACACAAAATGCTGCATGTAGGTTACTTGAGGGGAGATAACTGAGTGTCAGGAGCTTACCTGGAGGTCCAGAGGGCCCCTGTTGGCCTGAAGGTCCAGGTAAGCCCTTTTCTCCAGGGGTTCCGGGAAATCCAGGGGGACCCTGCATCCCTGGGAGTCCCATTGGTCCTGAAAGGAACATGCAAAAATTCAGGCACTGGAATGAAACAATATAAAGACAATGGCTGGTTTTAGTGACTGAATTCAGAGATTCATCCCAACAAAAGTGCAGAGCAAAGTCAGCCTCAGTGTTTAGATTCGTCTTTCTCTTTTTTTCTAGAAGGCTATAGTAAGGAGGCGCCATACAATAAGCACTGGACTACAAAATACAAAGTCAGAGGTTTGAGCCCACCAGTTGCTCCAAGAGGGAAAGATGAAGCTTTCTGCTCGCAGGATGATTTAAACCCTATACAGGGTTTCTATGAGGCAAACTGACTTGATAGCACTTAACAACAACAACAACAACAACAACAGAGCTATAGAATTGGTTTTGGTTTGGTTTTCATAGAGCTACGAGTGCTGCCTCTGTCTGAAGGCCATACAATGACCAGTAAGAAGGACTAAGGAAATGAATTCATGGTCTAGACAAAATGAACTTAAAATGAAAAACCTTGTAATCCTGAACTTGCTCTGGAGACATTCAGAAAACCAGAACTGAAGCTGAAGGAAAGATATCACAAGCATTTATTAGGCACCTACAGGGATCTGATGTGGTTAGTTGTCATCCAGTTTAATCCAGCTCATAGTGAACTAACGTGTGCAGAGTAGAACTGCTCCATAGTGTTTTCGAATCTATGACTGGTCAAGGTGTCTGCTCCAGCCCTGAGTTTACACCACTCTCTTCATTGCATCCTCATCAACCATCCAGTTCCTGGTAAATATGGTGTCTTCTCTTCTTCCCTGTCCATTAAATTATTCCCATTCTTTAGCGTTGACACCCAGCCTCCATGAGGACTTCCTCAGGGACGTCCTCCCTAAAAGCCCAACGAAGTCTTGGTGCTTTCTGATAAGCACCTATAGAAGCAGGACCCGTCACTCGGAGCTCAGAACCCAGTTTGGATGCATGAATCCTTTAATGGGACTGTTTATCTGATATGTCTGCTTCATTTGAGCAGGACCTCCGTATAAATCTATTCACTACCATATCCCTGCAGAGTCTCTAAGTGGTGAAAATGGTTAAATGTTTGACTACTAACTTAAAGGTTCACAGTTCAAACCCAGAGGAAGACAGATCTGGTCATCTGCTTCCGAATGGTCTCAACTTTGAAAACTCTATGGAGCAGTTCTGCTCTGCATACCTGGGGCACCATGTTGGAACAGATGCAATGGCAATTAACAATAACAACGCTATATCCCTGTTGGTGCCTAATCAATGTTTGTGAAACAAGTAAACATTCTCCCACCGTGTAAATCAACTAAGGAAATTCCTTCATCTTTTTCATAGTAAAGTGCCCAGTGGCTCTGATGGTCACTAGACTGAGAGGTACGAGCAAGTCTATCAATATTTATAACTCCCTTTGACTAAGTACGTCTTTGGCTAAGTCACTGCTATTCACATGGCATGCTATGTCCCTACACCTGAGACTTATGTCCAGGAGTAGGGTCATCCTCTAGAGCAGCACCTGGGGAGGAGGTTGTCTTTTTTGGGGAGAGGAACTAGGTTGTACATCCAGCGCCCTCCTCCTTCCTCTTGGTGACTGGAGTATTGGCTGGCCTGTCTAATTCCACGAATTAATAATAAGAAGCCACATATCCACAGACATTAAGGTCTTTTATTGATTTTATTGCTAACAAAGGTGAAGAGGGCTGTTCCATACTGTTGGATAGCGTGTGCACTGTACAATTCGTGCTGTAGCCAAAGAGATTGTGATTTTCATCTGCTTTAATCTTTCACCTTATAAGGTCCTGGTGTGGCGTCGTGGGTTAACACGCTGGACTGAAAGGTTGGTTTGAACTGCAACGTAGCAGTTCAAGTTCATCAGTTGTTCCTCAGAAACCCTAGACTATGGGTCGCTATGGGTCAGAACCGACTCGACGGCACTTAAAAGCAACACTCTGTCACCTGATTTCACATTTGTCTCAGAAGTCAGACGGGGTACTAGTTAGTTATAAGGCTTCTACAGGATGACAAAAGTTGCGTCTCTGATATTCTGCTTCCTTGTTTAGGAAATGAGAGAGTTGCGTTGAATAGTTATTATTGGTGCTTTGCACACCACACATAAACGTGTAAGTTTTAGGATTCCAATAATTCTCTGAAATGCTGATGACCAGCAATGAATGTTACTTAACTACCAGCAGTTAAGTAATAAGTAATTAAAGCAGTCGGAATAAAAACAGAACTGGGAACCTTCTTGTGAATATCAAAATATAAACTCAACAGTCTAGAACTGAGCTGGCCCATACATTAGGTTCTATCCCCACGTGGATGTTGACTAACTGACTTACTCTGTAAGTACCAAATATGCACTGATTTCAAAGCTTGGGAGGAAAAGTATTTATCTGGGAGTCTGTACAACCAACACTCTCACTGAGGTTTTTATATTGATTATATGTTGACATGATATTTCAAATACAGTATGTTAAATAAAATAAATATGAAAAGTCATTTCACTCAGTTTATGTTTTTAAATGGGTAATAAAAACTGAAATGACACAGGTAGCTGCCATTATATATGGGTAAGTCAAAAAGTACTGCTACAAAATCATAGCTACTCTTATTAAACAAAAATATCAAAATCAGAAGCTACAGTTTCTTGACATAACCTCTATCTAGGTCTTTATGTTTTTGAAGGCAGGGTTTTCATCTCTTTGAGCCTTCCCTGAGGAATTCTGCAATCTGTGATTTACACTACGCCAAAATGGCATATTGGGCATCCTCAGGGAACTCAAATATGCTCTTTTACAACATTCTTTGAATTTCGGAAACAAAGAAATCTGAAGGGGCATGATCAGGACTGGAGGGAGGCTAGGGTAAAGTTTCCCAGTGAAATTCTCATAGGATAACCCTTGCTGCCCTGAAAGAATGAGTAGGTACGTTGTTGGGATGGGAAAAAAAACACACAAAAAAAAATCCTTGGTTCACTTTCCTGGCCTCTTTTCACCAACACAGTTTTCAATTTCTAAAAACTTCTTCCTAATAAGCCCCTATGATCACTCTGTGCCCTTTGAGAACCTCTACCAAGATTACCTCTTTGAAATCCCAAGAGACAAGCAGCATCAATGTCTGAGCTGGCCTTCCTGCCTTGAATTGAACTACTATTGCTTCAGCAGATTCCCTCAGAAGCCAATGTTGTGATTGGATTTTTCTTTTTAAGACATGCTAAGGAGTCCTGGTGTAGCGCTGGGGGTTAATGCGCCAGACTGCAAAGCCGTTTGAACTGAAAGGTCGGCAGTTCAATCTCACCAGCTGTTCCTCAGAAACCCTAGACAGGGTCGCTATGGGTCAGAACTGACTCAACGGCACTTCACAACAACAACGAGACTAAGGCAAGTGTATTACTGACAGAGCATGTCTTCAGACCAAACACTGTTTGTAGAGGCATATTTAAACTACTTTTATTTGTAGTCAACCTATGCTTGTTCAAGGGAGCTTCAAAAAGTGTATGGGAAACTCCATTATCTTGTAATTGAATTTTTCACAAACTTTTATAAGTCCCGTCATATAAATCAGAGCCCCAGCAGCAATACTTTCTGACTCACCCTCATCTTTCTGTTGCCTAGCTCTGGTCTAAAGACCAGATGAAGGCGTTTCCTCAGTTTAACTTTTGAGGTTTACACAATGGGAAAGTATTTACCTATTCCACAAACATTTATTAGGTACTTCTGCAAGGTTGGTTTGAACCCCGTGGTTGGTGGTTCAAACCCACCAGTCACTCCTCGGTAACCCTATAGTGGGTCTCTCTAAGGTGAAACTGACTTGACAACACTTGACAACAACAGAGATACAACGTTGTTTTCCGTTTCCATTGAGTCTGTTCCAACATGGCACCCCCGCCTTGTGTGCAGGAGACTCCTCAGGGATATGGTAGTGAACAAATGTATACAATCAACTTGTGTTTCTTTCCTTTATTGTCCAACTTTTACCCAAACTTTAAGACTCTTTAGGAGAGTGAGGGCAATTTGGAAATGTGGAGACTGTTTCTGTATGAAATGAATTCCTGGTACAAAAATCCACCTCTTCAAAGTCCTCACATACTCCTTGAAAAGTAACTCACTTCATACCTTTCTGGCCGGCATGTCCATCGCATCCTAGGAGACCTGCGTGTCCTTGTGGGCCTCGTGGGCCTGGGGGACCCAGTGGGCCAGGCAGGCCATCGTCTCCAGGGTCTCCCATCAAGAGGTGAGCACTTCCAGGGGTACCTGGGCATCCTGGTGCACCTGACCACAGGGCAGAGACAAAAAAAACTTCAGTCAAAAACAACTATCTCCAAATAGGAATGAACTGAGCCCAGATTTTATTTCCATTTAACACCATATTCAATTTTGAGCGCTATTGTTTTTCTCAGTATAAAAGAAAAATCATATAATCTTTTATCCCACCCTTACTAAAAATTCTCAAGATTCAAAGACAGTGGGTTTACAACCCTATAAAAAAGTTCAATAATGAAATTCAATTTATGAATGTGATGGTTTGTGTTGAGCAAGACATTGCACGGGGCCATTCTCTTTCCAACTCCCAAACCAGCTCGAGCCCAGCCCTGCTTCCCAAATATTCCGCTGGCAGAGCTGCTCTCTGTGAGATGATGTGAGGGATGAGATATGCTGGTAGCAGCCCAGGGAGAGACTCTGCCTTCTGTCTCTGTCGGTGACCACAGACAGGCCTGGACTTCACTCGGGGTCAGCAGCGGAGGCTTACGTGGCAAGTGCTAGAGACAACAAGTAGGGTGGGATCCTCTCCTGCTGGCCACTTCTGTGTCCTCATGGTCAGCATCAAGTTGGGGACGGAAAATTCCTGCCTTTGTCCCCATTGAGATGGGTCAGATCAAACTGGAATACTGAGGGGCCTGTGTGGGGCCTCTATGCTTCCAAGAGGCCACCACTGGCCAGCACCCCCCCCCCAAAATTTAGCTTCACTTTTCCATCTGCCAAACTGATGGGGCTACTAAAGCGCTTCTCCTTGGCCAGTCTCTGGTCCTACCGCCTGGAGAGCCAGTGGCATCTAACAAAGCGAGCGTTGCCATCCTCAGTCGTGATTTCCCCGTCGTACCTCTCGGACCATCAGGACCCGGAGGGCCCTGCTCTCCAGGTGGACCTGGATCAGGAATGTCACCCTCCGGAGCTCTTCCTGGGGCACCCGCAGACCCAGGTGGTCCTCGGCTCCCTGCAGAGGGTGATGTTCAGATGTCAGCCTCATGATACCTGGAAGCTTTTGATTTAATTATTGAGGGATGGGGCAAAGCCTGCTGCCTCTTACCTGGGGGGCCTGGAGGACCTTTTTCTCCAAAGAGGCCTGGAGGAGAAATTCCGGGATTCCCAGGGTCTCCGGTCTCCCCTTTTAGCCCAGGCATCCCTATGGGACCAGGTGGGCCCACCTCGTGCAAACCTTCAGAGGGAAAACAGCATTCATGTCGCATCTTCTCTGTCTTTGTATGTAGCCTAGAAATTAACTGCTTCCCAACAGGAGTCTGACACGTGAGCAGCTAATTCTGCTGACCCCAACTGCTGACGGCACTGGTGGCGTGAAGGGCAATGCAGTAGTCCTGGGCACCACTGTCTTATGACTCATTATAATGGCCAACTGGTCAACCATCTCAACAGCTCAGTCCCAGTACCAACCTTCCAAGTGGGAGCTAATGCGCTGGACTGCAAAGTCGGTTTGAACCACAAGATCGGTGGTTCAAGCTCACAGCTGCTCCTTGGAAACTCTATACAGGGTCACTATGGGTTGGAACTAACTCAATGGCACTCAACAACAACAAAAACCTCTACATTGGATATAAGAAACTATATAGGTAGAAAGTAGTGGACAACCATGAGTAATTACAAATATACTGCTCTGGAATTTGAGGTGTGAACTGGCAAATCATTAGGCATACTGCAGAGTGAGATATCAAGAAAGGAGGGTAGTGTTCATTTCCTGTAGGTGCACACATTTTATCAGATTCTTGGGAAGAGTCACTAAATTAATCCTAAGTAGCCTAAATTGTTTCTTCATCTTCCAAACAGTATGAAAATCTCGTATCGCTTCAACAACAGACTACAACTTATCAACACCCTTCTACCACTCCAATTCCACACTCACACAAATCAACCTGTCTGGTTCCAGCTAACTTGTCTGATTTTTTTTTTTTTTTCTGAGAAAGTAATGCAATGTATGTACATATATGAAAATAAGCTAAAATGCAATTGTCAGAGATTGGCCTATTTGTTATACCAAAAATAATAGCAATTTGGACAAGTAATTTATTTCAGCTAAAAGTACTAATTAGATCAACATGGATGTACTATACTAAAAACAATGCAAACACAGACACAAAACAAAACAAAAAACCAGGAAAAATTCCCAGCACTATATATTTGTCATTCATACCATTTTAAAATCTGCTTCCACTGAAACAATTACTCAGCACTGTCAGGAGAAATATGTTGTTGCTGTTGTTAAATGCTGTCAAGTCGGTTCCAGGGCATACCTATTTTGTATAGGATTTCCAAGAAGCAGTTAGTGGGTTCGAACCACCAACCTGTCATTCTAGTCCAGTACTTATCTTTTAGTGCCACACCAGGACTCCCAGTAGAGATACAGCCCAAATGTATACCAACAAAAGGCACTGTTAACTACTTTTTAAAAACAGGCCTTTCTCAAATGTCCTTTTAATACACCATCAGCACAGAAAACAGGTGCAGTACTGTGATTCTAACCTAAGTCAATGTCTCAGCAAATCTCACCAAATGTCACGAAGCACAGAAATAACAGAACGTACTACTACTTCTCCGTTTCACTGGGGAAAGGTAGGTCTTCTGCGAAAGGTTTTATCTTACCTGAAGCACCTTTGGTTCCTTTCTGGCCCTTTAAACCATGCAAGCCATTCAGGCCGGGAGACCCCGAGGGACCTGAAACACACCACAGGACAGTGTCCAAATGAAAATGGGCAAGGTGGGCATTGCCAACCAGCGCAGGGTGCACTGATGGAGAAGACAGGCAGATCTTGCGCTCAGGACACCTTTTGTTGTTCAAACTGGAATCCACATCTTGGTGATTTAACATCCATTTGAAGAAAGCTCTCTGCCAAAGCAGCTTAACACATACATTTCTTGGTTTTAAGATATTGCATTGGTTTATGAACACAGCTACTTTTCTTACTGGATAGAATTTAGTATGACTGCATCTTGGTGTAGGAAATGAACTTCTGTTTTATGGCAATAAAATCATCCTAGCTGAGGAAAGAGATTGGATGGGGGCACACACAGGCTGCTAACTTCTAGGTTCATAATCTTTCCTCTACATTAAGGACTACAGATTATTTTCATTTCTTTAGGTTGGATCACTTAACTGTATTGAGACAGGGACAGGTGGGGTTTGTGGCATCTTCACAATATCAAAGCCCCACTCTGACCCATTGCCACTGAGTCAATCCCAACTCAAATAGGGCAGAGTAGAACTGCCCCGGGGATGTTTCCAAAGCTGTAAGTCCTATGGAAGCAGACTGCTACATCTTTCTCCCACAGCGAGATTGAACCACCGATTTCTCAATTACCGGGCAAGTGTTTTAACCCCTGCATCACCAGGACTCCTTATTAGACAATACATATCCTCCTTCCTTAATCATTCCTTTTTAAACACTGTGCTGCTAGAATAGGCTTGCTGTTCAAGTCTGGCTACGATTATTCTTCACAACCACTTCTTACATCTGATGCCTGTTTACGGAAACAAAATGGTATTACCATGACCACCCAAAGCACTAATCTCTCTACAACTAGCCACTCTCCTATTGGCACCACTAATGTCCTTCAGAAGGTTCTTCAGACATCGGTCTGGTTCTCTAAAGGGATGTCTACCAGCCTGGCTTTACTTCAGTTGTTACCAAACACTTGCAGTGGAAAAAGTGGTTTGGAAGGTTCTCCATCAATATACTTTGAAGTGACTCAGGTGAAAGTCATCTTCCTTTCAACTGAGAGTGACTAAATTGTCCAACATAAAGTGGGGGTGGGGGTGGGGAAGGGTGAGAATGAGAGGAGGGAGGGAGAGAGGGAGAAAAGCAGGTAGCTAATATTTATGAGGCATCTCCTGTGTTCTGAGCCCTTTGCTAGGTTACACACATCTCGTCCCACTGACTGGTTTGAGGAACATGTCTTCTCTCTACCCACTGGCCAAGTTGGCTAGCCTCCCTACTTCACTGGTGGGTCTTCCATCCAGTAGGTGTTCTTTGCCATCAGGGACTGAGAGCCCTTTGACGTACAGCCAACCAGTGTCTCAGGAGTTTCAGAAGAAAGATGGGACCACCAGTGGGATAATACCCAATTAAAGAAACCAGGGTTCTCACTCCTTTTAGGGCTACCACTCAAATTTGCAGCAGTGATGTCCACAGCTTCAATGGCTGAACATGTAGAAGTACCCTTCTTCATTCCACAGACACCTATGTCTAGCACCCTAGTTGCATGTCTGTCAGTGCCCTTTCCATGCAGTAGATTGGTCAGGTCTTTAGAAGACAGTCTCTGTCATTCAACAGTAAACCAACCCAGTGCAAGACCAAGTCCGATTAGTGTTTCTAAGCCAGTACTTTGTATATTTCCTGACACATAGTAAAAACACAAAACATGTTTGTTGGAATGAGTGATTGAGAGTGAGTGAATGAATGAGAGCTAATATGGGATGAAGATGAAGAATTGATGAGTAGAGAGAAAGAGTTATAATGAAGAGTAGACAAAATTGAGTTTTGCATGTCATATCTTTCTTTGATAGATTTAGAGAAGGAATATGATTTAGGAATGCTGTCCATTAACATATAAATAATTCAAGTGGTAATTATCATCCATTCACTAAAGCAACTCTTCCATGAACTTCTTAATAATGGTAAGACTGCAAGATGCTCCCTTTGACATTATCATGAGTACTGGGAACAGTTCATTGCTATTCTCTTGTATAAATATACACTTTAAATTGGAACCCATGAATCCGATTCTCTTGCACCTAAATGGGAATGCAGCCTTATTTTCTCTGAAATGCTTAGTTCCTGACCATTCATAACAACTTATGCTTACTTTATATTTTCCAATCCACTTTCCTATTTAAGGGCCAACATTTCAAGCCTGCCCCAAAAGAACACACAGACCTTCTTCATCTGCCAAAGCTAGATATTTATTGCAATCTATCAGAAATAATAAATTTGTTTGAGAACAGTATGCTATTCCAGTGTGTTTTGATCCCCAGCTTTAGCCACCAAGATTGATGGCTTGGTAGAGTTGGCTCCAAGTGAAATGTCTCAACTTCTGCCAAGTCTTCATTGTCACATCAGCACGTCCAGATTCTGGGTTGTCACGGTCCCAACCCATCACCCTGGTTAAAATGGACGACCTTTATCTGACCCAATGTTATCTTCCTAAATTGAACGCAGCCACATCTGGGTAGGACTTTAGGATGCTTTGTCCTTTTTTCTGAAAGCTTTTTTTTTTTTTTTTTTTTCATCAATTCCACCTCTCAATTTGAAAGTCATTCCTTCACAAAATATGTACAGTGCAGATGAGGGCCAGTTACGCTAGCTAGTAAGGCACATTCCTTGGCAATGAGGAACTTCTCTTCATCTCTTGATTCATCCTTCTGCTTTGAACCACAAATGAAGTCTCACTTCACTCCCAGGCGGGGTGCTTTCTTTCTGCTAAGTGACTATGTCTCCACCCTCGTCATAGCTGTGGTTTAGCCAGCCAGCTGTTCATGTCAGCCAGCTGGCTATTTGTGACTCTGATCGTATCTTTTGTACTAAAGCCTGGGAACTCTACTCTGTTCCCTAGGAGCTTATGTTTTTAATAGGGTGACCCTGTTTGCCCTGACTGTTCCAATTTTAGCACTGAAAGTCCCCCATTCTGAGACACCCCTCAAAAACAAACAAAACAAAGCAAACTTACTGCCATGAATGCATTCCAACTCAAGTGACCCCACAGAACAGAACAGAACCCTCAGGGTTTCCGAGACTGCAAATCTTCACTGGAGCAGACTGTTTTGTCTTTCTCCGATGGAGTGACTGGTAGGTTTGAACGGCCAGCTTTGTAGTTATCAGTCCAACACTTGACCCATTGCATCACCAGAGCTTCTAGGAGATGCCCCTCCATCCTAGGTAGAATGGACAGCTGGTTACCTAGCAGCTGATGGAAACAGACTATACATGACTATAGGTTATGGTTGGACACACTTGAAAGTTTATATCTGAGAAGATTCTGGAACAAGGCTACAAATTATTGCTTAAAATGCAGCAAATATATGAATGCATACTAAAGGAGGAGTTTCTGGTGAAGCAAACAGTTACTGCACTCAGCTACTAACTGAGGTGGGAGGCACCTTAGAAGGAAACCATGGAGATCTCCTTTCAAAATATCAGTCATTGAAAACCTGATCGAGCACATAGCTCTACTCTGGCACACATGGGGTCGTCATGAGCTGGAATTGACTCGAGGTCAACTTTTGTTGATTTGTTTCTACTATGGGAATGTACAGAGAGTATTAGATGTGGCCTTCAGCTACAAAGAGCTTCAGGCCCAAATGTACCAAGTGCCAAGTGAACATAAGACAACCAGGAGCAACCCAGAAGCATCTGTGAATGGACAGAGAAGGGCAACAGTATTTATTAAGTGTGGGAACGGCTATGGAGCGGAACTAGGGTGGGAACAGCCTACCTGCAAGAACAGGGTAGAACATTTATATCATTTTCATAGTTCTGAGGTACATAGTCTTTCTAGTCTGATAAAAGACATTCCAGGTATTTTTTCTTATGAGACATTTTATCTGCCACCAATCAAAATACCCTAATCTATATTCTTTACGGGAACTGTGCTGGGGCAAGGGTTCCATGGTCGGTGGCTAACCGAGCGGCTCTGTGGCAGAAAGCCTTGGCAATGTGTTTCTGTAAAGGTGACCGTCTAGAAAGCCCGATGTTCTATTCTGTAACTTGGGGGTTGCTAAGAGTTGAAATCTATTCAATGGCAACTAACACCAACACATTTCTTATAAGTCATTTTCTCTAGCCTTCCACTATTCCTATCTTACGTGAACAACCAACGAGGTATTATTTTCCCTTTAAAGGGCGCATACGCTTGCAACTTTAAATCTAGGAACTAAGCCATTTTGAGCATATGCTTAAGTTTAAAATCTGATCAAACACAAGCAGGACTCCGCATCCATATGGTGGATTGTTCTAGCCAAGCAAACAACTTCAGAGTTCAGCAGCTGGCCTTTTTAAACAAAATCATCAGTCCCTTTGACTTCTTCAGAACATACTTCAAATACTTCGTTTCTCATTTCAAAGTGTTTAGGCTGGAGTATCATAGCAACGGCATGATAGACTGCAACAGTCGATTTATATTGTAGACATTTTGATTTTTAGGAATGCATTGTGCTGTTTGGTTTTGTTCAAAGACTGGTGCTTCCCTGGGCTGTAGACACTGTCCCTGGCTGACCATGAAGCACCACAGCCGATTTGGAAGACTGGTACAAAGGGGTTGCTGAGAGGTGTTGTTGTTAAGTGCCGTGGAGTCAGTTTTGACTCATGTTTTTGTTGTTGTTGTTAGGTGCCATCGAGTCGGTACCGACCTATAGCGACCTTATGCACAGCAGAACGAAACACTGCCCGATCCTGGGTCAACCTAACTACTGTTGCCACACTTGAGTCCATCGATGTTGCCACTTGGCCAATCCATTTCGTTGGGGATCTTCCTCTTTTTCTCTGACCCTCCACCTTACCAAACATGATATCCTTCTCCAGTGGTTGGTCCCACCTGACAATATGTCCAAAGTATGAGAGACGAAGTTTGGCCATCTTGGCCACTAAGGAGTACTCTGGCTGTACTTCTTCCAAAACAGATCTATTGGTTCTTTTGGCAGCCCATGGCACTTTCAATGTTCTCCTCCAACACCATAATTCAAAAGCATCAATTCTTCTACAGTCTTCCTTATTCACTGTCCAACTTTCACATGCATATGAGGTTATTGAAAACACCATGGCCTGGGTCAGGCACACCTTAGTCCTCAAGCTGACATCTTTGCTCTTCAACACTTTAAAAAGGTCTTGTGCGGCACATTTGTCTAATGCAATTCGTCGTTTGATCTCTTGACTGCTGCTTCCATGAATGTTGATAGTTGATACAAGAAGAATGAAGTCCTTCACAACTTCAGTCTTTTCTCCATTGATAAGAATGTTGTTTATTGGTCCAGTGGTGAGGATTTTTGTTTTCTTGACACTGAGATGTAATCCATACCAAAGGCTGTGCTCTTTGATCTTCATCAGTAAATATTTTAAGTCCTCTTCACTTTCAGCAAGCAAAGTTGTATCATCTGCATATCGCAGGGTGTTAATGAGTCTTCCTCCAAACCTGATGCCATGTTTTCCTTCTTATATCCCAGCTTCTCAGATTATTTGATCAGCATACAGGTTGAATAAGTATGGTGAAAGAACACAACCTTGTCGCACACCTTTTTTAATTTTTAAAACATTCAGTGTTCCCAAGTTCTGTTTCAACAACTGCCTCTTGGTCCAGGTACATGAGCACAATTAAGTGTTCCAAAATACTCATACTTCTCAATGTTGTCCATAGCTTCTCATGATCCACACAATCGAAAACCTTTGCATAGTCAATAAAGCACAGGTAAACATCTTTCTGATATTTTCTGCTTTCAGCCAAGATCCATTGGACATCAGCAATTGTCAATGTATGATTGTAGCCGTTTCTGTACTACCTTTAGCAAACTTTACTCACATGGGATATCAAAGAGATTGTCCAATGATTTCTGCATTCCGTTGGGTCACCTCTCTTTGGAATGGGCAAAAATATGGATCTCTTCCAGTCAGTTAGCCAGATAGTTGTCTTCCAAATTTCTTGGCAGAGATGAGTGAGTGCCTCCTGTGCCGCCTCACTTTCTTGAAAGATTTCAATTTTTATTCCATCAATTCCTGGGGCCTTGTTCTTTTCCAGTTCCTTGAATGCACCTTGGACTTCCTCCTTCAGCATCATTGGCTCTTGATCATATAGGAACCCTATATAAGGTTTCTGAGGCTTTTAAATCTTTCATGGGGGCAAAAAGTTTCATCTTTTTCAAGTGGAGAGGCTGATGCCCTTGAACTGACAACCTTATGGTTCACGGTCTAGTGCTTATTCTCTAGAGCCACCATGCTCCCTGTATGCAGGTGTGGATGGAGGTATTTATTTTCTTAGCTTTTCTTCCAACCAAACTGACTATTTTAAGGCACAGAGTTAGGATGCATTTAGAGATGACATTTCACATAGTATTTTTGCTATTAGATTAAACTCATTACATGATAATTTTTGAGTATATCACACTGAATCAAGTACGTAACAAATGAAAATTATTTCCAAGGAAGGACACGTTGACAAAAGTAACAAGAGTCTGTCAGTTTTCTCAAACTGGGGACACAGGGTCACAGAACTAAAACACATGAAAATCCTTGCTGTTCTAGGGTAGTGGAGGTTTAGGCAAAAGTGGAAATGTGGTAGGTGTGGTTCACAATGGAACATGTTATCATCTTGCCTTTTCCAACTTTCTTTCCCAGACTCTCAATTAAATGTCAATATCAAAAAATAACAACAACCACCCTATCAGGGCTGTAGACAGGAAACGGCCACATCATCAGAGAAAGTTTTAAAATAAGAAAATTACTGTTTTGCTTGAAACCCCAAATGTATCACAAATCACTGGATTGCACATTACTAAAAACATTAACCAAGGTGGAGTAGAACAGTAAACACATAGGTTATCTTTTGATGGAGAAGTAATGTTACTCAGCTGTGCAGGCATGCCTACATGCACCCACACCTCAAAATACGGGCTCTCACTTTTTACAGAATTGTATGAGGCAGCACATAGCACGCTTACGCTCTGGAAAGCTAGGATCATTCGAAAGCTATATGATGAGTGAGGAGGACTGAGTGTGGAAAGGACTATTTGGATTTCCAAACAAATGAGAAGCATAGGTCCAGAAGAAGGGGGCTCCAAGTCTTTTTAGAGGAAGTATTTTTCATTTTACGTAGAGTGTATCTGAGACATTGGGCAGAGGGCTGGTGGGAGAAGAGAGGAAAGAGAAGGCAGAGGAGGTTTAGTTCGAGAATCCACCAAGTAAGGCTTAAAATCCTTAGCTGCTGATTGTATGAAGACCCTTATCCTCAAAGCTACCAAGCTTAGTTGTTGATTCTTCCATTTGTCCATTCATTCATTTACTAATTTATTCATGCAACCAATTGGCCTACATATTGTGTATCTACTGGGGGCCAAGAATATGAAAATGGTCTTTTTATTAAAATCATATTTTATGTGCTGAGTATTATGGATTGAACTGTGTTGTTCCACACACACACACACACACACACACACAATATCTGTCAACTTGTTTGGGCGGTGAGCCTCAGTATTACGTAATTATCCTCCATTCTGTGAGCTGATATAATTACCCTACAAGTTATGAATCCTCCCTCTATTATCTTAATGAGACAGGATGAGTGGGAGTGGCTGGTATGTAAATGAGCCAGGACACAATTAACAAGATCAGGTTACATCTCAGGCGATCTCTTATGAGATATAAAAGAAAGTAAGCAAGCAAGCAGAGACCTGACGACCACCAAGAAAGAACAGTCAAGAATGGAGCATGTCCTTTGGACCTGGGATTCCTATGCTGAGAACGTTCCAGAACCAGGGGAAGATTTCTATCAGGGCACATGGACGTCTCCAAGGGATGTTGGACCTACATATGTTGAAAGGAATCAAGGATCTTCCCCTAGGGAGACAAAGCCTTCCCCTAAAGCTGGCACCCAGAATTTGAACTTCCAGTCTTCTAAACTGTGACATCATAAATCTGTCTGCTAAAGCCTCTAAGTCAACAATTGTAATACAAGATTTAAGCACAATGTGAGGACTGTGTACAAGGTACTCATGGACCATGGACACTTTTTCTAAGATACTCTGAGGCCTAGGAGACAATGGACTAAAGGGTGGTGGTGGTTATGTGTTATGGAGTCAGTTCTGACTCATAGCGACCCTGTATAGGGTTCCCAAGGCTGTAAATCTTTATGGGAGCAGAAAGCCTCATCTTTATCCCGCGGAATGACTGGTAGTTTCAAACTGCTGACCTTGGGAGTAGCAGCCTGACTCATAATCACCATGTTACCAAAGTAAGTACCATTAGTGAAGGGAAGATCTGTTAATAACAAGTATATACTATGCTATACTCAGACTTGCATTGTAACCAGATACATCATACCTAGACTGTTACCTGGGTGTGGAGCTGTAGGATAAGCAGTCTACCATAAGTTCAGTGATTCAAACTCACCAGTCACTCCTTGGGAACCCTATACAGGGTCATTATGAGTCGGAACCGACTTGATGGCACTTTTAAAGGCCAAAAAAAAAAAAAAAAAATCAACCAAGGAAAAAACTGTCTCTACCTAGCAAAGAAAATAAACACTAGTTAATTGTTTTTCTCATCTTATTGCACCTTCTTCTTTTCCCTTCCTCTCCCTCAACCCAACTGAGAACTCTATTTATTTAAAATTTTTATTTCTCTTTCATTAGTCTGTGAGCTCCAGGAAGCAGGAGTCATGTCTACATTCTTCAAAATGTGCTCAGCGTCAGACACAGAATAATCTCAGCCATCATAGGGTACCAGCAACCTGCAGGGAGTAGAAATTAATAACCTGGACATCACAGAACATGGGGTGGCGGGGAGACCCTCGGAGATGAGGGGGCAGCACCAGCATTCTAGATACCCTCCGGTAGAAGGTGGGTCAACAGGTAGATGAGCACTGTCTGTAGCTCTAGGCAAGAAGTCATCGAGGTGTGCTGATGGAGCCCTGTAGGCTCAGCACTGGATTTCAAACCACAAGGTCGGCAGTTCAAACCCACCAGCTGCTTCTGAGAAACCCTATTCAGGGTCACTATGAGTCAGAACTGACTTGATGGCACTTAACACCAACAACATCTGTGGGAAACAGTGCCTTGGGCAAGAGGAATGTCACATAAGGATGCAATAAAAGTGCCACAATTTCACCTTCATTGGGCTGAAGCTTTCTGATGAGGTAGGCTCCCTCAGAGTAGAACATCTAGGTAAAATATTATGCTCTTTTGGGTTCTTTGTAATAGATTCTAAAATGCTGAATTAATTATAGACATCATGGCATTCCAATCCATAAATACCTTAGGAAGCACGTCTGAAAAATATGAACATTTTCCAACTCTGTCAAAATAATATTGTCACAGCCAACAAATTAGTAACAATCTCTTTGGAGTACCTTTTATTCCCGGAGGGCCTGGTATCCCTGGATATCCTATGAGGCCTCTTGGTCCAGGTTCCCCTGCTTCTCCTGGATGTCCCCTCAGTCCAGGAGCCCCTTGATTACCTGAGGATGACAGGGATGTTTTCAGACATCCAGATGATATGAGTTAAATTGAGAAAGCATCTGAGCTCTTAATATGTGGGTAACTGGGAACATTGTGTTATTATTTTCTCTTCCGAGATCTTTAACTTTGGGGAAGACAAACACACTTAGAAGAAGAATATGCACTTCTCAATGATGGAAGCTGCCAATTATGGTTTTATACTTTCCCCTTAGTCCTGAATGGGCAGAAAGACAATCTATTCAAATATTATGCCACGTATATATTGGCCTCATGTCTGAAAGAGAAAAGAAAAACCAGCACACTGAGAAGCAGGTGAAATGAGATGGGCTAAAATGCCTACCGCCATATTGGATGTTCTGCAGGTGTTTCCTTACTTTACTCCTAAACCAATCTTCATGAGATGGGACTAACTTCATGTTACATGTAAACTAGAACTGTCCAAAACCACAGTATAAGAAATGACAGAGCAGAATTAAATCCAAGGCTTTCTAAGTGAAATCTGCCTCTTTCCAAAACACCAAGAGGTACATGAGTAACCGGGCAGTCTCCAGACTTCCTTTCAAAGTACCTGGACACCCAGGCGGTCCAGGGAAGCCTGGCAGTCCTAATCTTCCAGGTGGTCCCCTGGGCCCTTGAACACCAGGCAATCCTTGCTCTCCGGGGATTCCAAAATGCCCTAAAGAAAGAAGTATCAAGCAACGGAGTTACTGTACAAGGCTCTGTGAGATGGTGAACCAGTGAAACTGTCAATCTTGTTGTTGTTGTTGTTGTTGTTGTTGTTAAGTACCATCGAGTCAATTCCAACCCATAGCGACCCTGTATAGGGTTTCTAAGGAGAAGCTGGTGCGCTTGAACCACCGACCTTGCAGTTCACACAACTTTGCAGTCTGACTCATTAGCCCACAGCGCCACACCTTTTGTTTTGTTACTTTCTTATACTAAAAAATGCCAATAACATTAAGGAAACAATTAAAATAAACATTTCTAATCCCACAATTTTCCATACACACTAACACAGTGCCAGTTGCTACTGAGTCAATTCCAATCCATGGTGACCCCAAGTGCGTCAAGAGTTGAACTGTGCTCTGTAGGGTCTTCCATGGACGTAATGTTTTAGAAATAGATCAACAGGACTTTCTTCTGACCCACTCATAGCCAAGTGCACAAACAGTACCCACTTTTACATTCTAAGTTTGTCATAGTTTTGCTAACTATCACTTAAAAAATGGTTGACAGTTTATTGTGTTAATCTTAACTACATTAATTGAAATTTTTTTCTACTATTGGGCATTTTCGCTATGAGTCGGATCCGGCTCCACGGCACACAACAACAATAACAACAACATTGGCCATTTGGAAAGTGTGGTGGCTCCGTAGGATAAACACTGGACTTTGAAACACAAGGTCAGTGGGTCAAGCCCACCAGTTGTTCAGCAGCAGGAAGATGAAGCTTTCTTCATCTTTGCTCCAGCAAAGATTTACAACCTTGGAAACCCTATTGTTGTTGTTATGTGTTGTTGAGTCCCTTCTGAGTCATAGCAACCTGGTATAGGGTTTCTGAGGAGCGGCTGGTGAATTTGAACCACCAAACTTGCAATTCAAATCAACCTTGCGGTCCAATGCTTACCCTACTTGGTGGTACCACACCAAGACTCCAGGGTCACCATTAGTAGAAAGCAACTTGACGGCAGTTAACAATAACAATACATGTTGACCTATACACTTTTAATTTTTTCTCCCATTAAGCTATTTCCTTATCAAAAATGTCTCAGAACAGAATAAGTAAAATAATATGCTGTTTTGATTCTTTCTAATGAAACCACCAGCAGCTCCGTGGGAGAAAGATGAGGCTTTCTACTCCCGTAAAGATTTACACCCTCAGAAACCCTGTACAGGGTCGCTATGGGTCGGACCCGACTCGATGGCACTTAACAACAACAATGGAGGTCAGCAATTCGAAACTACCAGCTGTTGTTCCACGGGAGAAAGATGAGGCTTTCTACTCCCGTAAAGATTTATACCCTCGGAAACCCTGTACAGGGTCGCTATGGGTCGGACCCGACTCGACGGCACTTAACAACAACAACAACAATGGAGTCTAAAATGCTGAAGTAAATCACAGACATCACGGCATTCTATCCATGAGTACTTCACGAGGAATGTCTGAAAAATACAAACATTTTCCAACATTGCCAAAATAATATTGCCACAGCCAAAAAAATGCATAACCACCTCTTGTATGTCATCGAATACACAGTCCACATTCAAATGTCTCCAACTGTCCCCTCAATTTTTTTCAAAGCTGGTTTGTCTACTCTGGGTGGCACAGCTTTTACATTTTAAATCTGGTATTACAGCTCTTAAATTTCTTAAAATCGAAAACAGTCCCTTTCTCGTGGAATTGAAGTGCTGAAGAGAATGCTGTTCTTTAGTCATCTGGAATAGACTATTCAGGATTTGGGTTCTTGACAGGTTGCTAAATGCTTTGGAGTACATACTGTCTAAACTCACATCACCAAATGCAGCTCACTCACAATTCCATGATCATAACTTCAAGAACATTCTGTGTTCTCATTGAGAATGTTTTTTCATTTGTTGGCTTGTATTCTTGTTAATTTAGAAAGAACACAATGGCATTTCACACAGAACTTTAAATGATATTTCTTTGATTATTAGAGAGGACAATTATAGGATCAATCAACAGTCTGTGTTGAAAACGACTGGTTGAGTCTTCAAATAAAATACATATAGCTCTGCTTCTATTAAGGGTAATGAGAAATTTTAAATGGAGCAAGGTGGTGGTTGGACAACATGACAAACATAATTAATATCCCTGAATTGCAGATGTGAAGACTGTTAAAATGATAAATGTTTTGCTATATATATGTGGGGACTCCAAAAAGTTCATGGAAGAAGTCCATGCCCTTGTAATTCCATTTCTTTATAAACTTTTGAAGCTCCTTCATGTATTTACCACAATAAAAAAAATATGGTTCTGTATTTAGAAACCCAAGAGGAGTAATATTCATTATTATAACATGCATGAAATAAGCTATGTTAATACGTACTTGTTCATTGAACATTTATGAGCTTCACTCTTTGTTATCGTATTTATACTGATAACTGCAAACATGTACAGCCTCAGAAATCCTATAGAGGGTCACTGGGAGTCGGAACCCACTTGACAGCACTTAGCAATAACAACAACAACAAAGGGTGACTAGGCAAATTAGAGCCAAAGCAAATAAAACATTTTCTTTAAAAGATCAGACTAAGTGTAAAATGGAGTCCTGGTATGGTGCTGCAGGATAATGCACTGGACCACGAAGTCAGTTTGAACCACATGGTTAGCGGTTCAAACCCACCAGCAGCTCCTCGGAAACCCTATGCGAGGTCGTTATGGGTTGGAACTGACTGTATGGCACCTAACAAAACAACAAGTATAAAATAATTCAGATTTATGATTTCCCTATTATATAAATGCATTATTTATATAAAAATATTAATTTATGATACATTTAGCAAATTAAATATTAATATTATAAATATATTATTTATGTAGTGTGTTGAGATAATATATGAAATATATTGTTATATTTATGACTAATACTTTACATAAAAGATACTCATTTTGGACTACTTTCCACTTCTAAAATTATACTATCTTCAGAATTTACATTAAAATAATAGAACATGTGAAAAAAATCACTTAAAGTTTTCATTTATAGATTCCTTTCAAATTATGTCCTTACAGATTCCTTCAAATTAAGTCCTCAGAGCAATCTTGTAATATGTGTGTTGTAGTTAGGAGACATCCAGTTGGTTCCAGCTTCTAGCAACCCGATGCACAAGAGAATGAGACACTACCCAGCTCTGCACCAACCTCACAAATGGTGTCACGTTTGAGCCCAATATTTCAGCTCCTGTGTCATTCCATCTTGTTGAAGGTCTTCCTTTTTTTCACTGGCCCTTCAGTTTGCCAAGCATGATGCCCTTTTCCAGGAACTGGTCCCTCCTGATAACATGTCCAAAGCATCTGTGATGAAGTCTCACTATCCTCATTTCCAAGAAGCATTCTGGTTGTACTTCTTCCAACTCAGATATATTTGGTCTTCTGGTAGTCCCCGGTACTTTCAATATGCTTCTTGAGCACCATAATTCAAATGCATCGATTTTTCTACAGTCTTCCTTATTCATTTCGATGTTAAATGCATATGAGAAGATTGAAATAACAAGGCTGGGTCCAGGCACACCTTAATTTTCAGTGATATTTTTGCTCTTGAACACTTTAAAGAGGCTTTTTGCAACACATGTGCCAATGCAATATGTTGTTTGATTTCCTAACTGCAGCTTCCACTGGCATTGTTTGTGGATTAAGTACAATGGAACCCATGACAGCTTCAATCTTTTCTTTGCTCATCGTGATGTTGTTTATTGGTCCAGTTTTGAGGCTATTTTTTCTTTACATTGATTTGCAATCATACTGAAGGTTGTATTCTTTGATATTCATCAGTGTCTGAAGTCCTCTTTACTTTCAGCAAACAAGCTTGTGTCATCTGCATATCTTAAGCTGTTAATGAGTCTTCCTCAAATCTTGATGCCACGTTCTTTCTCATACAGCTCAGCTACTGGGATCATTTGCTCAACATACAGACTGAGTAAGTATGGTGAAAGGATACAGCTCTGATGCACACATTTCCTGATTTTAAACCATGTTGTTAGTATATAGAATTCAACTCATAGAGACAGTAGTGTCTCTATAAGTTGGAATCAACTTACAGTAGTGGGTTCTTGGAGTATCTAAATAACATCATGAGAAATGGAGAAAAGATTGAAGTTGTCAAAGACTAAATTTTGCTTGGATCAACCATCAATACTCATGGAAGCAGCAGTCAAGAAGTGAAATGACAAATTGCATTAGGCAGATCTGCTGCACAAGACCTCTTTAGTTGAAGAGCTAAGATGTCAGTTTGAGGACTAAAGTGTGCCTGACCCAAGCCATGGTATTTTCAATAATCTCATATGCATTTGAAAGTTGGACAGTGAATAAGGAAGACTGTAGAAGAACTGATGCATTTGAGTTACAGTGCTGGAGGACAATATTGAAAGTACCATGGATTACCAAAAGAACAAACAAATCTGTGCTGGAAGAAGTACAACCAGAATGCTCCTCACTCATACCAGAATGCTCCTGGAAGTCAGAATGGCCAGACTTTGTCTCTCATACTTCAGTTGTATTATCAGGAGGGACCAGTCCTTGGAGAAGGAATCATGCTTGGTAAGGTGGAGGGTGAGCAGAAAAGAGGAAGACCCCCAACATGATGGATTGGCACAGTGGCAGCAGCAGTAGGCTCAGTCATAGCAATGCTTTTGACATTGGCGCAGGACCAGGTAGGGTTTTGTTCTGTTGTACACAGGGTGGCTATGAGCCAGTACTGACCCGATGGCATCTAACAACAACAACAATAAATATATTTGACCAAATCATAAAATTTTTACTGGCTGAGTTTTTAGAAGTAGATCCTCAAGACCCTCTTAGCCTTGAAGCTCCACTAAAAACCTGTCCACCATGGGTATATGAAATACTGGTGGCATAGCTTCCAGCGTCACAGCAACATACAAGCCACCACAGAGTGACAAACTGACTGTATCTCAAGGGAGCAAAGTGGCTCTGTGGGATTTGCATTGGACTGTGAACCACAAAGTCCACGGTTCAGATGCTCCTCAGGAGAAAGATGAGGCGTTCTACTCCCACCACGATTTACAGCCTTGGAACTACTACACAGGGTGACTATAAGTTGGAACCAATTCAATGACACTTAACAACAATATGTCATATTAATACTTTACATATTACCTTAAAATCCTCTCTGGAAATAGCCACGTGTCATTTCATGTGTTGGTTTAATGAAAAATGTATAGATATACCTGGGCATCCAAGGCTACCTGGCTCACCCTTCGGACCAGGTGGGCCAGTATGACTTGCTGGGTCCCCTCTGTTGCCTGTAAGTGATGAAATGTACACAAGTAAGAACATTTGATTTGGTCTTATGCAAGTGACCTAATAATTTAAGTAAAAATTTTCTTCACATGTCTATCTTAAAATATTTCAGAAGAGGACCTAAAAAAATACATCCTTTCCCCCAAACAAAACCACATGGAAATATACATGCAAAATGTGATTCAAACACATATACATATCCGCATACCCACAGTTGTGTCGGTCATTTATCATAGAGACTATAGATCTTAAATCTGAAACTCTAAGTCCCTAAAGAAGTTTCAAATTTAGGTTTGCATTTAAGAAATCAATTGGCATTGAGTGACTATGCCTTTATTATATTGTTTTAGAAACCAAAAGCAGAAATTATCACTGCTTCAGTGATTCTGAGCACATTTCAAGAGTCTGCAAGGAAACTCATCTCAGTGTCCTTGCAAAGCCAAACCACCAAGGCAGACTTTATCAGTGACTTTGTAGGAGGTGGTGCGTTCAGAGGTCATTGTTTACAGTGACTCCCCCAGTTCCACAAAACTGTTCAACTCGTCTTCATGATGCTCCTAGAGTCACAATACAGGACAGCTGGGTGAAGGTTCTAAAAGGAGGACTCCAATGGAGTGGAAGGGAATACAAAAGAAGGGGTTACAAGGAAATGAAAGGGGTAAACTAGGTCTGTTTTATAGAATCTGCCAACCACCAGGCTCTTTTAAGGAGTTCCAATCCTATCTCAGGGAAGGGTCTCTTCCGGCTGATGCTCTGATTCATCATGGCTGCCTGTTTGGGACATAAAAGTCTGATAGGAAAGTATCTTCTCTTGAGGACTTGGATTTAAAAAATGAGAACACGGAGTCCTTGGCCACTGGGGCAGAAGCCAAAAGCATGTGTTATGAATTTTCCTGACACAGAACAGGTTGGGGTGCAATCTGAACATACAAAATCCACACAGGTTACAGAAGACAGAGTAAGGAGACCTGTTGTAAGACAGGTCAGTAAAAACAAATCACAAAGAAAAGTCTATAATCTTAAGATTTATTCGTTACCTAAGGGTTAGTTTCGTTAATGGCTTGGAAGACCTATGCTTTTATCTGTGGGCTCCATGAGGTTCCTCTTATACCAGGTAAACCTTGGGTGCACTTAAGTTCCTCAAAAACAAGGTCAAAAGCAACTTGGAAAGAAATATGAAGAGGTAGGTTTGTACTATGAGACAGGCAAAGGAACTATAATAAATTTATGACTAAGTAGAAGAGGAGTGAATTCTGAACCCTGACGCAATAATCAGCATCAGAATTTTAAAACTATCCTATTTGTAACACTTTCTGAAGGAGAGATCTAGATTAATTTTCTGAATACGTGAACACACTCAGTTCATGCTTTCTTTACTAATTATTGTGTTATCTGTGGAGTGTCTACCTAAGTGTCTAACAGACATCATGGGCCACAAGGAAGAGGGTTTTAGATGGCTCGTATAAGTACTTTATAGTTCAAAGTTATTTCTTTCAATAATACATTTATCTAATTAAAATAAACTATAACTGCCCATCCAACCTGTGAATTCACAGAATGTGACAAGGTGGAGGCTAAGATTGAAAAGGTCAATCAATTTAAAGTCAATTTAAAGAAAAATATTCACCCAGTAGTATACACAGAGAGTAAAAATATTTAAGGTCTTATGAAAAGATTACATTGTAAGATATCTGGATTTGTGTTTGTTTGCTTTTCTGGAAAAAGAGTTTTAAAAAACCTCTTTCTCTAAGAACACTGTTGACTTGGAGTTAATTTTCTAGCACTGCTTCCTTGAAAACCTAGTAAAAGTAGGACATCAGTTATGTGGGACTGCAAACTAAGACCTATGGGTCCAAATCCTAAGACCTGTAGGTCCAAATGCAGCCTGCTATTTGTTTTGTAAGGAGCTCTGGTAGCGTAGTGGTTACGAATCAGGCTGTGAACTGCAAGGTCAACAGTTCGAAACTACCAGCGGTTCCGCGGGAGAAAGATGAGGTGTTCTGCTCCCGTAAAGATTTACAGCCTCAGAAACCCTGGGCAGGGTCGCTATGAGTCGGAACCGACTCCACGGCACTTAACAACAACAACAATTTGTTTTGTAGTTACAGTTTTATTGGGACACAGCCACACCCTTTGTTTACAGATTGTCTCTGATTCCTTTCATGATACTACCTCTCAGCCGAGTAGTCCTCACAGAGACCAGATGACCTGCAATGCATTTGTAGACCCTTGACTAACGCTGCAAAATAACCTGATTGTGAACTACTTATCTGGAGTAAGGTTTTGGGTCAACTTGTCTGGACCAGGATTCTCATTGGTTTAGCAGTTAAGATGTAAATATTACCTTCACGGTAAGATCTAATAGAATATAATCAATCCCATGCTACGGTTTGATGTGATAAGCTCTGATATGATGTCATTATCCTGTGTTGCAAATCCTCCCTTCTCTGATGTTAATGAGGTCGGGTGCAATCTACAGGATTAGGTGCACATTGAGTCAATCTCTTTTGAGATATAAAAGGAGAGAGAAGTGAGCAGAGCTCAGAGGAACTTACTACCAGCAAGTTAGAAAAACCAAGAGTGGAGTGCATCCTTTCGACTTGGGGTCCCTGCACTGTGAAGCTCCTAGATCCAGGGGAGTACTGATGCCAAACTGATCTCCCAGGGCTATAGGGCCTACAGATGCCAAAAGAAGACATGGGCCTTTCCCCAGGGCCAACAAGGAGAAAGCTTTCCCCAAGAACTGGCACTCTGAATTCAGACTTCTTGCCTCTTAAGCTGTGGGGAATCAATTTCTAGTTGTTCAAGCCATCCAATAGCAGCATAAATAACTAAGACACTTGGAAATTCTTTAAAGTGAACTCTAGCCATCTAGGGGGAAGTCATAAGTTTCTATAGTGACTTTTGTAACTAAAAACTATACCTATAGCGTTGTCCTTAGAGAAGGATATCACACTTGCTAAAGTAGAGGGTCAGTGAAAAACAGGAAGCTCTCAGGCAAGATGGATTGGCACAGTGGCAGAGGCCATGGGCTCAAATATAACAACAACTGTGAGGCTGGCACAGGAGTAGGCAGTGTTTGCTTCTGTTGTGCATATGGTCACTGTGCATTGGAAGCAACTCAATGGCACCTACCAACAACAACACAGAGTTGTTAGAAGACATACAAGTCCCTGCAGTGCACGGAACTTCCAATCCAAGGTGGACATGGTCAACCAATGGCCCACTTTGCATATGAGCTGTCACTTGGGGGTTGTGGTCACTATGTGGACTGCTGCAAGGTCTCCCACTGAAGAGGAAGACCTGTTGTGCCCTACTGGCATGTGTTTCTTATCTGATACTCTTCAGCTGTATGGTGTGGTGCTGTGGGGCAATGCACTGGACTACAAAGTCAGTTTGAACCACAAGGTCAGCAGTTCAAGCTCACCAACCACTCCTTGGAAACCCTATACAGGTCTCTATGAGTCAGAACCAACTCAGTGGGACTCAAGGACAACAACTCTTCAATCTGAATGCCACATGTGGGTCAGTTGAGTCTTGAGTGTCTGACTATCTACTAGAACCAAACATGGCTTCTGCCCTTGGGAACTGCTGTTTTTTTTGTGTGCTTTGCTTTTCATGTTCACTTACAACGGTACAAACACGACCCAGAAGACTAGGCTCTTGACAGACTGTATTTCAAACCATACCTTTCGGTCCTCTCACTCCATCGACTCCTGGGAGTCCCATAGGGCCTGGAGAACCTACATCACCCTGAGAGTTTAACAAAGCAGAAGTGAGGCTTCGTTGGGTTTCACATATAAATGACACACGCAGGACATGGTCCAGAAATCAGGTTCTGTAACCAATTTAGTTTTCATAATTTTACATGGTGACAGAAATTGGAATTGTAATGCAAGCATATTACTAGATGTGCTTAGTTTTCAAAAAATAGTTTAACCCTCCAGAAAGAGGTATAAACTGTCAGCAGATATTCTCTACACTGGACTGCAAAACAGTATAATTGCATTGCATAACCTGAATTTTACATTTTGCGTAAACAAATTGACACTAGCTAAAATGTTGTTGTTGTTCAAACCGACCTTGAGGCCGAGTGCTTATCCTATAGCACCACACCTGGACCCGAAAGAAGTCATATAATATCAAAATTTTAAAAACCAATTGTATTACAAGGAGTCCTGGTGTGGCGCTGTAGGTTAATGCACTGGACTGCAAATTCAGTTTGAATCGCAAGGTCGATAGCTCAAGCTCACCAACTACTCCTCAGAAACCCTATACAGGGTCCCTATGGGTCTGAACTGACTTAACAGCACTTAACAACAACAAAAATTATATTCCAAAAGATAGGTACCAAATTGTATAACACAATTTCAATGGTACTCTGAGCCACAAGGTCAGTGGTTCAAACCCACTAGCTTGACCTCAGGAGAAAGATGAGGCTGTCTGCTCTTATAAAGATTTGTTGTTATGTGCCGTGGAGTTGGTTCCAACTCATAGCGACCCTGTACAGGGTTTCCGAGGCTGTAAATCTTTACAGGACCAGAAAGCCTCATCTTTCTCCCATGGAATGGCTGGTAGTTTCGAACTGCTGACCTTGAGGTTCACAGCCCGATTCGTAACCGCTACGCTACCAGACCTCCTTATAAAGATTTACCGTCCCGGAAATACTGTATAGGGACACTATGAGTAGGGATCACCTTGATGGTAGTGGGTTTTTGTTTGGGGATGTTTATCGTACCTCCCAGCTTCTCAAGGGATATTTTCTCATGATTATAAAGGCCAACAACATTTACAACAAAAATTGTGATATCTGCCATGAGAAAAGAGATTAGATAGAAACAAGTACTTAGAAAATACTTTAGTCATTTTCTAGGGCAGTTTTCGTTCCAGTACCCCACAGTCATAAGACAAATCTCTACTGAATTGTTTAAACCAGGCTGGGATGCAATATGTAATATGCATGTAATATGTAATATGCATATAATATGTTAATGCTTGTGTCACGGTCATTAGGCATTGACATTGGTCAATGGCAGTTACACCATGACCTTCCAGAAGGTTCCATTTCCCCCTGGTCCTACCATGTATGTTTTAAAGATCCACGTCAGAGCAATGGTGGCCACTGACAAACTACGTTTCACTATGGGGTCCTGGTGTGGCACTGTAGGATTAGCACTGGACTGCTAACCACAAGGTCGATGGTGGTTCAAAACCACCGGGCACTCTTATGCAACCCTATACAGGGTAGGTGTGAGTTGGAACAACAAAAACATATATCCTAAAACAGCAAGGTTGTATTATTTCCTCCCTCCCAAAGTTGCAGTTCCTTACCTGGTCACCTGGAACTCCTGGAGGACCGATGCTTCCTGTTGGACCAGGTAAGCCTGGAGGTCCTGAGAGCCCGGGAAGGCCCGGCTGTCCACCTCTCCCAGGCGCCCCTCTGTGAAGTCCGGGGGGCCCAGGTCTTCCAGGATCTCCTCTTCTCCCTGGCATTCCTGGGTTTCCTTTATCACCTGATGGGGTTGGAAGCTTTACAAACCTCCTCTCTTAGATCCTGGGCACTTGGCCCGAGTTTTAGAAGGAGACAGCCAACAGAATGGGGAGTTCTAATTCCAGCCCATGAGCCGACTCAAGAGGACCACGGGTAATACAGGTGTGTGAGGTCATTTGATCCAGCGCCCCCAGAGAAGTTACAACACAGGCCCCCCCACCAACCAGCTGAGGAGAGAGGCAAGACAAGAACCTAAGTCTCATGCAGATTCAAGAGAATGCAGATTTGGTTGTTGAAATACTTGCTCCTGGCTGTCTTTGAAGGCTAACAGCACAGGCAAGGGGATGTGTTACAAAAGCAGTCTCCTGCTTGCCCAGAGGTGCTGAATCCAAATCTGCTTTTTAATACGTTCCCTCTTCTGGAGTCCTGGTGTGACTCTGTAGGATAAGCACTCAACCATAAGGTGGGTTTGAAACTGCAAAGTTGACATTCCTGGGAAACTCTATATGGGTCCCTATGAGTGGGAACTGAATCCACAGCACTTAAACAACAACCAACAGTGACTTCTGGGTAGTGTGGTTTCAGACTCATTGGTTGAAATAAGCTGAACAGTCATTTCCCAAGTCCCAGAAACCAAGGTAAGGGCTACTTTAAATTGGGAACCTATGTGTACCTCAGTACTGATTCTCATTTGGAATATCCAAATCTATAAATCAAGGGGACTTCAAAATGTTCGTGGAAAGATTCTGTTATCTTTTCACTCCATTTTTCCATAAACTGTTTTGGAGCCCCTTTGTACCTAGGGACATGGGCTAAGTTCTAGCACGGAAAAGTCAAAATGTTCCACTAGGTTCATTCGTGCATATTTATATCTAAAAGGTGATCTTTCTGCAGCTCGATGTTATTGGAAAAGTTGCCAACCACACGTGCTTGTTTGAACAGTCTGTAAAGATATCAGCCAATTTGAGATGGTTACAATTCCCTAAGTGTTTACCGGTTTCTCCTGGGGATCCTTCACGTCCTGGTGGTCCTGGTTCCCCCATTTTTCCTTTACTGGAAATGATATCCACTTTTCCTTCCTCTCCCTGAGGTCCCTTCTCTCCTGCAGGTGTAAATATTCACAAGAAAACAAATAGACATATACAAGATTCTTTTGTTACAATATTTTACTTCCAATTTAGACATCTCCCTTTGATCTCCTGAGCTGTGTTAGGTTTATGCGCTGCACAACATCAGAACCATTGACTGATTCCCAAAGGAAGGGTTCTCCTGACTGTCCAGCCATGGGCCTGGTGTGTAGAAAACACCCAGTGAATGTGTGTGAAATTCAACCAAACATGCTTGAAAAGTTCCAGATCTAAAAAATGTCTCTAGCCTGTGAAATCTGTATTGCTTATCTCGTATTTTTCAATTCCTTATCTTTCACTTCCAAGCCAACCTCTATTACTTTCCTTACACTCAAAGAACAGAAAAGAAACAGCCCTACATACTGCAAGTGGTTTGCAGTCAAATGTTACTCGAAAGGTTGGCAGTTCAAACAGTGTTGCAGAAGAAAGACCTGGTGAACTTCTTCGGTCAAGATTACAGCTTCCAAAACCCTAGGGAGCAGTTCTACTCTGGAATATGTGGGTCACCAGGAGTTGGAACAAACTTGATGGCAGCAGGTTTTGTTTTACTTTTGCATCAAATAAAAGACACTTAACCATCTCAACTTAGTTCACCACATAGAGATTTCCAAAATGGCAGAAAAGGTGCAAAATACAATATATTTTTACCTGGCTTTTTCCAAGGATGGTGTAATCATAGCAGCTTGGTGAAGCCCATTGGCAAGAGCACACGTTGGCAAGAAACTGTTAACAGTTTCAGAATTTCGGAAGCCAGTTATTAAATCATGGCCAGTTTGCTATCAGCTACAGTGGGGATATTTACACCACCAAAAGCAGCAAGAGCTACAAGCCATGGCTTTATTTGGTTGTTTTTGGAGAACGAGTTTACCAGGACATCATTGGCATTAGCCCGATTCTTTATTTTTTTTTTTTTGTCATTGGAATACTAGGTTCCTGGATGCACAAGTGATTTGTGCTTCGCTATTAACCTAACAGTTGGCAGTTCAAGGCCACCCAGCGGTACTGCAAGTGACAAACATGGTAATCTGATCTGTTCAGATTCTAGCCAAGAAACCCTTCTGGAGAAGTTCGACTCTGTAATACATGGGGTCATCATGAACCAAAATGGACTCAGGTTTTAGTTTAATTAGTGGCATATTATTATTTTTAGGTGCCATGGAGTTGATTCTGACCCAGCAGACAGTATGGAATTGGGTTTCTGAACTGGTCAATTTTTGTGGGAGAAGAAAACTTCATCTTTCTCCATGGAGCAGCTGGTTGGCTCGAAGCACCTACCTTGTGGTTAGTAGCATCTCCCATGCTTCCCAGCTAGTGGCATAATAATTGCACAATTAATCATTCTTTAGCTATGTTAGTTAAAAAAAAAAAAAACAAAAAAAAAAACGACTCAGAGCCAGAGATGATGACATGGAGCGATGGAGCGGCTGGAGACTTTAGATCCAGAGAGGGAGAGCGACTGTGTGCTGAAGACCTGGGGGGTACGGGGGAAGGATTGCATGGAGGGGATTGTAACCATGGCAATGAGAGACAATATACGATAGAATGAATGTAAAACTAATGTTCGCCCATGTAAACTATCACATAATTCACAATAAAACATTAAAAACAAACAAACAACTCTTTGATCTCCTGATTCTACAAAAGTAATTTGTTTATGTTTGTTGTCTGCAAAAGTTGTTGTCAAGTGCCGTCAAGTCAGTTTGGACACACAGTCACCCTGTACAGGGTTTCTGAGGACCAGCTGGTGAATTTGAACCACCAACTTGTGGTCCAGTGCATTATCCTACAGTGACAAAAAATAATAGTAGACTCCATCCACTAACAAGAAAGAGTAATCTGAAGGAAATATGAGGCTATTTTTCCAAAGGGTTTTAAAGACCAAAACCTTGTGTCTAAAAATCATCAAGAGTTTGTTCTCAACATGGGAAATGAAATGCTATTTTCACTCAATGAAGCCTTGAGGGTAACAGTAAAAAATAAACACTCTGTAGGAATGGGCACAGAACACTAACAGGAGGGGGGCTTTTTTTTTCTTTTATAGTCAATTTCTTCATCATTGGCTTTAGTGGTAGGTGTGTAAATTTGAATGATTGTTGTATTGACTGGTCTTTCCTGTAGGCATATAGATACTATCATATCACAGACAGCATTGTACTTCAAGATAGATGTTGTAATGTTTTCATTATATGACGCTTGGGGGAAACCCAATTTATGCCCCAGATGAAAGTGGACTTATCTGATTTCAGGGATGAGCTCAAACTACCACCCAGGGACCAAATCAACCTCACTGCCTGTTTTTTATAATCCAGGAGTTAAAAATGATATTTACACTTTTAAGTGGTTCATGGGAAAAAATCAAAACATGAATAATTATTTCAAGGAACATGAGATTGATATGAAATACAAATTTCAGTGGCCATCAAAATATTTCACTGGAACACAAGTATATTCATTAGTTTATGCATTGTCTACAAGCAGCTGAATTGAGTATCTCTGACAGACCATAGTGCTTACAAAACCTAAAATATTTAGTATTGGGACCTTTCCAAAAAATGTTTACCAACCTTTATTCTAATTTAAACAGAGCTAGGGCACCAGTCACGCCTCGAAAACCCTATACAGGGTCGCTATGGGTCAGAACCGATTCAGCAGCACTTAACAACAACAACAACAACAACGGGGACCAGAAACTCCCCTGCACCAAAGGTGGGACAGGCTCTCTGAAATCCAAATCAAATACATCAATCAAAGCCTTAATAACCACTTGTTAATGTATTGTCTATTAATAGAGTAGTTCACACACCATAGTTAAATGCAATAGGATTGAAATTAAGGAAAATAAAAAACCATTTTCTTAAAATTCTAAAACAAATGACAGAATCGAAAGGAAAAGGGAACTCAAGCTACAAGGCTGCTCCATTTTATTTTTCATATTTATAGATTCAGATATTTATAGATTCAGATATTTATAGACTCTGACCAAATCCCCCAAACAAGCAAATTGCATCTCTCATGCTGCCAATTGTGTTTACCTTTGGTGCCTCTCGCTCCCTGGTCTCCTAGAAGACCAGGCCAACCTTTCTCTCCACGTTCTCCCTTCCTGCCAGGTTGTCCGTCTGGGCCAGATCTTCCTCTCTCCCCTGGAAAACCTGGGATGCCAGGCAGACCCTGGGGTCCTGAGAAATGACAACATGGATTTTGAGGGATACATGTGGAAAGCTCTGAGGCTACTATTTCTATGCTTCTTGTAGTCCTGACGTAACTCTTGAGTTTACATGGAAGGCCAATCAATATAATATACTGACTATATAATAGCTCAGTCCTCTCTCTCAGTCCTTTTCAGGTTTCCAACCCATAGGCCTCTAGCTTCTGAATCTTGATTGTATCATACTTTCAGGGAACCAGGGTATGGAGAGTGGATGGTCCATCCAAAGCAGAGGTACATTAGCCCTATCCCTAGGACTTCACTGATGGTAGCTAGCTGCCTTTGCTCAAGAACAAAAACATCCGTTTGAGGACTAGAGTGTGCCTGACCCAAACCAGGGTATTTTCAATCACCTCATACATGTGTTAAAGTTGGACAGTGAATAAGGAAGACCATAGAAGAATCAATGCATTTGAGTTATGGTATTGGAGACAAATATTGAAAGTACCATGGACTGCCAGAAGAACAAACAAATCTGTGTTGGAAGAAATACAGCCAGAGTGCTCCTTAGAAGTCAGGATGGCTAGACTTCATCTCTCAGACTTCAGACACATTATCAGGAGGGACTAGTCCCTAGAGAAGGACATTAGATTTGGTAAAATGGAGGACCAATGAAAAAAAGGATGACTCCCAATGAGATGGATTGAAACCAAGGCAACAGCAATGGACTCAAATACAACAATTGTGAGGCTGGTGAAGGGCCAGGCAGTGTTGTGTTCTGTTGTGCATAGGGTTGCTATGAGTCAGAACCGACTCAACAACACACAACAACAACAACCCAATCCTTTGAGCAAAAGTGTTTATGGGTTCTGTAAACCTATCCCTCTTACTACATTCTGCCACTGGTCATGACAATACGGAGAACAAGAGAAAGGTGACAGATACCAGCAAAGTCAGGCTAATGTGGTAATCAATTCCGTTATGGTCATAGGTAACAGACTTCACTTGGCAGTGGATGTCAAGGTTATAAATGGATGGCGATCATTTAAGTGCATTACCCACCTGGCGGTCCTGGAAGACCAGGTAGCCCATCATCACCAAAGGGGCCTGAGACTCCGGGTGGTCCGGGGAGTCCGTGTGCCCCCTGCTGTCCTGGGACTCCAGGAAGACCCTTCATTCCAGCTGGTCCAGGAGCCCCTTCATTCCCTTGCTGTCCTTTTGAGCCTGGGGCACCTGGGAAAAACCACCATGGGTAAAACACCAGATTGAAAACTGGCTCCGCAGGCAGTAAAAAATATGTGTGTGGTTTAGCAGGTATCTAGGAGCAATTGGCAGTATTTGTCGGCTGAAATAACAGTAGCTACTTTCCGTCTATCTAAGCCAGTTACCACTGAGATGATTCAGACTCATGGTGACCCCATGTGAGCTGAGTAGAACTGCTCTGTAATGTTTTGGAAGCAGACCGCCGGACTTTTCTTTTGAGGTACCTCTGGGTGGTTGTGAACCAGAAACCTTTCAGTTAGCATTATTGTTGTTAAGTGCCATTGAATCGGTTCTGACTCATAGCAACCCAGGAGCGACTGTTGAGTTTGAACCACTGACCTTGTGGTTGAAATGGCCCTTGCAGTCCTCACTTATCCTACAGCACCACACCAGGACTCCTTTCAGTTAGCAGTTGAGTGCTTAACCAACTGTGCTACTCAATGATTCCTAGGGACACCTACCTAGAACTTAGACTCTAACAGTCCAAGAGTCTATTTTCTGGCTATTATTTTAAAAATATAAAGTTGTTATTGTTGTGTGCCATCAAGTCAGTTCTGACTCACAGCAACCTTGAATAGGATTTCCTATTCATGAGCAACTGGTGGGTTTGAACTGCTGACCTTGAGATTAGCAGACCAAGCATATGCTACAACATCACACTAGGATTCCATACTGATGAAGAGGTACTAGGTTTCTGTTTGAGGCGATGAAGAACTTTTACAAACGTTGATAATACAACAATGTGATGATGTAAATATAATTATATAATTAATGTCATTGAAGTGCATACTTAAAGAAGGTTAAAATGAAATTTTTTTTATTATATAAATTTATCACAGTAAAAAAAATTTAAATAGGACTAATTCACTTGAGTAAATATTTACCAGCAGTTTTTTTTTAAATGGAACATGGATCGGGATGAAGAACAAATATATATATATAGAGAGAGAGAGATGTATATATTGTACTTGTAGGGAGAAAAAAAAAATCAGCAAAACTCATAGAAGAAAATAACTTTCCAGGTACTTCTCAGAGCTGTGCTGTTGTTGTTGTTAGGTGTCATCGAGTCGGTACCAACTCATAGCAACCTTATGCACAACAGGACAAAACACTGCTTGGTCCTGGGCCAACCTCACTACTGTTTCCACACTTGAGTCCATCGATGCTGCCACTTGGCCAATCCATCTCGTTGGGGTCTTCCTTATTTTCTCTGACCCTACACCCTACGAAACATGATATCCAGAACCTCTGTAAAGTTCCCTGTCAATATATGCTTGCAGCCCTTTCTGTATTACCTTTAGTAAAACTTTATTCACATGGGATATCAAAGATATTGTACGATGATTTCCGCATTCCATTGGGTCACCTCTCTTTGGAATGCACACAAATACGGATCTGTTCCAGTCTGTCAGCCAGATAGTTGTCTTCTAAATTTCTTGGCCGAGATGAATGAGTGCCTCTTGTGCCACCTCACTTTCTTGAAAGATTACAATTTTTATTCCATCAATTCCTGGAGCCTTGTTCTTTGCCAATTCCTTCAATGCACTTTGGACTTCCTCCTTCAGTATCCTTGGCTCTTGATCATATGCTACCTCTTGAAACAGTTGAACATTAACCCTTTCCCTTTGTGGATTCCTTCCATCATCTTTTGATGCTTTCTGCATCATTCTATAATTTGCCCAGAGAATCCTTCAATAACGAAAGTCGAGGCATGAATTTTTTCTTCAGTTCCCCCAGTTTCAGACATGCTGAGCGTGTTCTTCCCTTTTGGTTTTCTGACTCCAGATTTTTGCACATTTTGTTGTAATATTGGCTTTATTTTCTCAAGCTGATCTTCGAAATATTCTGTTCAGCTCTGTACCTCCTTATTTATTCCTTTTGCTTTAGCATCTCTATGCTGGAGAGCAAGTTTCAGTGTCTCTTCTGACATCCATTTTGACCTTTTCTTCTTTCTTGTCTTCTAAATGACTTTTTGCTTTCTTCCTATGTGATGTTCTTGATGTCATCCCACAACTCTTCTGGTCTTCGGTCTTTAGTGTTTAATGTATCAAATCTGTTCTTCAGATGACCTCTAAATCCAGGTGGAATATATTCGAGGTCATATTTTGGCTCTCATAGACTTGTTTTGATTTTCTTTAGCTTCAGTCTGAGTTTGCATATGAGTCTCAGAGCTCTAGCAGACTGTTGATTAGTCAGACTGCTAACTGTGATAAGAGAGTTGTAGAAACCAGAGAAACATCATCTAGTATTATTACTGCTAGAAACAAGGCTTAGAGGCAGTTGTTGTTGTTAAGCGCCATTGAGTCAATTCCAACTCATAACGACCCTGTATAGGGTTTCCAAAGTTTTAAATCTTTGTGGGAGCAAAAAGCCTCATCCTTCTCCCATGATTGGCTGGCGGACTTGAACTGTGGACCTTGTGGGTCACAGTCCAGTGCTTATCATATGGAGCCACCACACTCCCCATGCTGATTCTGGTGGTGGTGGTGGTGGTTGTGTACCATCTAGTCAATTCCAACTCATACAGACCCAGTGTAGAGTTTCTGAGACTGTAAATCTTTATGGGAGTAGAAAGCCTCATTTTTTTTTTTTCCCCATGGAGAGGCTGTTAGATTCAAACTGCTGACCTTGAGGTTAGCAACCCAAATTGTAACTCACAATACCAGGGTCCTATGGTGGAGGGTCAGAGAAAAAGAGGAAGACCGCCAACGAGATGGATTGGCCAAGTGGTAGCACTGATGGACTCAAGCGTGTCCCAGGATCAGGTAGTGTTTCATTCTGTTGTGCATAAGGTCGCTATGGGTCAGTACCGACTGGATGACACCTAACAACAACAACATGTTGATCGTAGGAGAGTGTATATTTCTGCATTTGGATAAGAATCCATAAGATTTCAGCAGCAGGGCTGATGATCTGAAAGGTGAAATGAAGATCAATTTGTGAACAGTCAGTCCACTGGAGCCCTGTGCTGGACGATGCTCCATAGTCTCCCATACTCCTTCTTGCATGTCTCACTCGGTACACCAAGAAAGCCAGATTCCAATGACTCTTTCCACCACTGTCTGTCAGTCTGGATACCGTGGTGGTGATGCTAGAAGATACACCATAGGTATTTCAAATTCCAGCAGGGTCACCCATGGTGGACAGGTTTCAATGGAACTTCCAGAACAAGAGAGACTAGGAAGAAAAACCTGCAGTCAACTTCTGAAAATCATTGTTGTTAAGTGCGGTCCAGTCAGTTTCAACCCACACCAACCCCGTATAGGGTTTCTGAGGAGCGGCTGGTGAGTTTGAACCTCTGAGTTTGTGGTTAGCAGTCCAGTGCTGATCACAAGAGCATTCTACCATTCCAGACAGTGCTGGAAGCTGAGCCCTAGGTTGGAAGGCACTCAAAGACACAGTGGCCACAAGAAAGGACTTGAGCAAACCAGTGGCCATGAAGGTGGCTCAGAACTGGGCAACATTTGGTTGTATTCTACACAGGATTGCTGTGAATCTGAATGGACTCCACAACAATGACTGTTTCTTTTAATTGAGAATACTGAAAGTGCCACGGACTGCCAAAAGAACCAACAGATCCATTTTGGAAGAAGTGCAGCCAGAGTGCTCCTTGGAGGCCAGGATGGCCAAACTTCGTCTCTCATACTTTGGACATATTGTCAGGAGGGACCAGTCTCTGGAGAAGGATATCATGTTTGGTAACGTGGAGGGTCAGAGAAAAAGAGGAAGACCCCAGTGAGATGGATTGACCAAGTGGCAGCATCGATGGGCTCAAGCATGGCAATGATAGTGAGGTTGGCTCAGGACCGGCAGTATTTCGTTCTGATGTGCATAGGGTTGCTAGGAGTAGGTACCGACTTGATGGCACCTAACAACAACAACAACAACAACAACAACAAACTCTTTCTCAGGGCCATTTCTCAAGGCTGTGTTTGTAGCAAGCAACTTTGAAGGATGAAATAACACCTCTCCCTGGACAAAAAATGGACTTTCTTTATAGATGTCTATAAAGCAGTGGACTTCTCACCGAGTCCCATTTTCATTGCTGCCATGGCGATGAAAGGTGACCTGAGGGCACTTGGGGGACCTGGCTTTTGACAGACAGTGTGCAGCTTCTACAACAGTGTATTACTTCTACAACTGGGAGTAAGTAATAAAGTCCTTTGCCTCTGACCCAGGGGTCTTGCTTCTGCCAGTGTCTACAAAGCAGAGGAGCAAACTCGAGCCCCTTTACCGCCCTGATGCCTGCTGACACTTACCTATAGCACCTGGAGTCCCCGGAAGCCCTGGCTGCCCAGGTATCCCTGGAGCGCCTCTTTCACAGGAATGGCCAGGTGGGCCTGGGATACCAGGAAGCCCAACACTTCCCTCTCTGCCCTTAGGACCCTTGAGGCCTGCAATTCCTGGACGTCCAGGTGGCCCTGAAATGATACAAGACATATATGACATTCATGACGCAACACTCTATGGCCCGAAGTCACTGTTCATGGGTAGCTTAGCTGGAGGAACACATTTTGATCCTGGCTCAGAGTTCAACTGAGCTAAGACTCAGATTCCTTACCAGATTCTGTTGGTGTTGTTGGTGGTGGTAAGTGCCATTGAGTCATTTGTGGCTCAGAGTGACTCTGTATAGGGTTTCTGGAGAGCAGCTGGTAGGTTTGAACTCCAACCTTGTGGTTTAGAGTCTAGTGCTTATCCTACAGCGCCACACCAGGACTCCTCACATACCGTTGTTGTTAAGTGCCATTGAGTTGGTTCTGACTCATAGCGACCCTGTATAGGGTTTCTGAGGAGTGGCTGGTGGGTTTGAACCGAGCTTGCCCTATAGTGCCACACCAGGCGTTCTCCCAATGAAAGAATGAGCCACGTAATGCGGAATGAGGCCCTTGATAAAGGCACGTGAAACACAAAGATATAACCATGCAAATCAAAACACATGTGGTTCTGCTTGAATTTCACTAACATCCAACTTTACAGGCTTTTCACCAACAATCTCTTATGCTTATCAACCCAGCATGCATTGTCTGAATTTACACTTTGAAAGATAATTCATCACTTGTACTCTTAAATGTATATTTACCAGAAAGACAGTGTCATAGCATCAAAAGAAATTTTAAAACAGGAAAATTGCTATTTGTGTACTTGTGCTGTTCAACTCATTGCAACCCTTTATATGGTTTCCAAGGAGTGGCTGATGGGTTAGAGCCGCCAACTGTGTGGTTAGCAGTCAAAGTCATATAATTTCACACTGTAACCTGGAATTCTAAGGTTTTTCCACTATCTTCACTGTATTTTGGTCTACATACATACGTTTATAAACTAATGATCACTAGGCTACATTCAGTTGTTGAATTATTTCATATTACATGGCAACCTGAAAATGTTATTGTTGTTATCTCTACAAATGAGATTTCAGTTGCTAACTATTATGTCTCTGTGATGTTACTATTGTTAAGTACCACTGAGCCGGTTCCGCTGCAGATCCTAGAGTCTCCTTCTTTTCTTTCAAGAAAGGATGTGCCTGTGTTTGGGGGCCATCCTGCCATCTCCAGAGTCCTGCTGCCCTAGAAACCCACCCCATATATCCAGTGAGACTTCCCTGAACCCCTCAGAACTGCTCTCTTATACCCCACCCTATCCATTTGCGGTTTACGACAGTAACATCCTGTCCCAAGTCCAGGAGCTGCTGAGTGGGACTGAACTGAGTGAGCTCAATGAGCTGTCCAGGATTTGAAAAGAGCCAATAAAATGTAAAGGCAGTCCTGGGGTGCTGGTTATTTCAAATGCCATCAGTGCTCTTCTGTGAGGAATGATGCTTGGATGACAACTGCACATTCGAGATTCAATGCACGAGAGTCCAAACTTTCTTGAGCGCCCTCTCTAGGGTGTTGCCAGCTTTATGGACCATGGAGAAAATACAGGTCTCATACCTGCAGACCCTGGGTGTCCCGGGTGACCTCTGGCTCCTTTCATTCCTGGCACTCCGGGGAGACCCCTCTTCCCTGGTTGTCCTGGGTGGCCATATGCAGGGTCCCCTGGGAGTCCTTTTGGACCATCCACACCAGGTGAACTGGGAAGGCCTGGGGGCCCGGCAGGGGAGGATCCCTCTTCCCCTTCAAAACCTGGGTCTCCCATGACACCACGGAAACCTATTTAACAACAGAAAAGTTTTAAAATAGTTAAATGTACATGTATAATCCAGTACTAATTTAAGACTACTTTCTGGATATAAATATAAAAAACAAAAGCAAGTATTTTCTAAAATTTTGAGTTTCTTATTAGGTCATGTTTTGGTAGGAAAACGAGTAATTTTGTATTTCCTATAAGCCAGTCAAGTTTCCCTAATTGTTTACTTCTCTGCTAAGGATTTTGTCTGAACTGAACAGTTTCTGTAATATAAGACAGCAATGTTGTTGTCGTTGTTATTAAGTGCCATCGAGTCAGTTCCAACTTACAGCGACCTTGTATAGAGTTTCCGAGGAACAGCTGGTGGTTTGAACTGCCGACTTTGCGATTCAAACTGACGTTACAGTCTAGTACATTATCCTGCAGTGCCACACCAGGACTCCTAAGAAAGAAATAATAGCCTATAGCTGATGCTTCAAGGAGTCCTGCTGTAGCGCTGTGGGGTAACGCGCTGGACTGCAAGGTCGCTTTGGACCTCAAGGTCGGCAGTTCAAGCCCAACAGCCATGCCTCAGAAACTCTATACAGGGCTGCTGTGAATCGGTACTGACTCAATGACACTTAACAACAACAACAACAAATCATAAAAGCTTAGCATAGCTCATGCAGTTAGAAGATCCCTGGTTCATTTCCTAATTAAAGTCATTCAACATTTGTTGTTGTTGGTGGTAAATACCGTGGAGTCAGTTCTGACTCATAGTGACATTGTTGTTGTTGTCAGGTGCCATTGAGTTGGCACTGACTCATAGAGACTTTATGCACAGCAGAACGAAACAATGTCTGATTTATTAGAGGTATTTAAAAGTCCTGGACATACATTTGCCATAGAAGGAAAAATGTTTCATTTACCAGGTGGACCTGGGATTTCAGAAGTTCCTGATTTGCCACGTCGTCCTTTTTGCCCATCAAAACACCTCGGCCCAGGAGCACCTGGGGAACCTGGAAATCCCATCGGACCTAAAGAACATCAACAACAAAACACAGACTCAACAAAACACAAATCAATTGAGGATAACACATGGTGACTTCTCTCCACCTGAATCTGTATTAAATCTTTTTAAGAGACCTTCTACTCCATTGGAGTTGTTGCATCTCTTGGTTTAATTCATCACATTATGAATCATGTGTACAAATGACATTTTTTTTTTCCAATTAAGGAATTTTCTCAGACAGCATACAAGAATGGGTTTTTCCTGGAATTCTCTGGAATATAACTGCTATTCACATGGCCTTTCTGGTAACTCCCCATGCTAGAGCTCCATTATGGACTGAATTCTGCCCCCACAAAAGATATGTCTAAGTCATAATCCCTGGTACCTATGGACATGACCTTGTTAGGAAATAAGGTCACTGAAGATGGTATCAGTTAACATGAGATCCTATTGGAGTAGTGGGAGTCCTAATCCAATCAGAATGGTGTCTTATAAAAGGGGAGCAAAGACACAGAGAGACTGACAAAGGGGATATTGCCTGACAACAGTGATATTGTAGCTGCGAGTCAAGAAACCAGCAGAGAGAGAACGGGTCCGCCCTCTCTAACGGGTACAGTTAGCTGAGCCCCTGAACTGTACGCGTTTCTGTTCTGTGCTATAACACTTCCATCTGGCCACGTTGGAGGTTTGCTCAGTACCTTGATGGAATTTGTTTTTGCTACAATAACTGTGGAGTCTTAGTGTACTGCTGTAGGATAAGCATGGGGCTGCAAACCACAAGGACGGGGGTTCAAACCAGCCACTCCTCAGAAATCCGATAAAGAGTCTCTGTGAGTCGGAACCAACTCAATAGCACTTCACAACAACATAGTAAGTGCCAGGAAATGAAACTCACTTTCCGCATATCACTTGGCTTTCTGCCACAAAAACATTAAAATCAGCTTGCTGACCCTTTGAGCCACTTTGCTGTCCCAGGGACAGACGTCATTCTCTTTGCTTTGCTGTACTCCACAGTGGTTGTGGTTTTTACAAACGGCAAGTTTGTGGTCACCCTGAGTGGAGTCAGTCTCTAGGCCCCATTTTTGCCAACAGCAGGTTGCTCACTTTTTGTCTCTGTGCCACATGTTGGTGGTCCGCACAGTATTTCAGACTTCCCATTGTGCTATTACAGACTTCGTAGACAACAGTCTAGTGTAAACTGAACTTTTCTATGCAGTGGGAAGGAGTCCTGCTGTGGGGCTGTAGGATAAGTACTGGACCGCAAGGTTGGTTTGAACCTCAAGGTTGGTGGCTCAAACTCACCAGCTGCTCCTCTACACAGGGCTGCTATAAGTTGGAACCGACTTGATAGCACTTAACAAGAACATGCACTGGGAACCCAAACAATTCACGTGAATCATTTAACTGTGGCCCTTGCTTTACTCTGGGGGTCTGGAACCGACCCTGCGATATCGCGGAAGTCTGCCTGCAGTCTCAAGATAACTGTGCAAGGCCAGCCTGTCCCAGCATGATGGGAAGTCTGAAATACTGTGCGGACCACCAACGTGTGGCACAGAGACACAAAGTGAGCAACCTGCTGTTGGCGAAAATGGGGCCTAGAGACTGACTCCATGCAAGGTGACCACAAACTTGCGGTTTGTATGCATGCAAACTTGCCGAGGATGCATGCAAAGCAAGTGAGTTAAAGTCTCAGACAACAGTCTGTGGTCTAGAAGGTTTTCACTGGCTTAGGTTCTGAGGTAGAAGTGCTAAGCTGCTGATCAAAAGGTTGATGGTTCAAAGCCACCCAGAGGCTCCATGAGACAAAGACCTGGAGATTTGCCCCTGTAAAGATTGTTGTTGTTGTTAAGTGTCAAGTCGATTCTGACCCGTAGCGATCCAGTATAAGGTTTCCAAGCAATGACTAGTGAGCATGAACTGCCGACCTTGCGGATCAAACTGACTTTGCAGTCCAGCACATTAACCCAGAGCGCCACACCAGGACTCCAATAACATAGAAAATCTTACAGAGCAGCCCCACTTTCACACAGGGCTGCTATGAGTTAAAGACGACTTGACAACACTACCACCCACAAGGATTAAGTTACATGACTTCTAAGACAAAAAAATATGTAGGCAAAAGACTTTGAACATATTTCGGGTTTAATTTGGCTAAAACCAAACATTTAATCCAGATAAAGTTCAGTCCGGCATGCAAACATGTGGACATTTATCGGAATATTTTTGGCTGGAACTTTGGTTCTCATAGAAAGCAGCACAGACTTAAAACTAGTAAATAAATATTCATTTTTCATTCTTGTCACACACAGTTTTCAAACTCAAAGGACAGACATTTCAGTGATAAGTAAACAGATCCAGGTAAATTTTGAAATGTTGTTTTCCCATAGTCTCTCAAAACCTTATAAGAATTTTAGAAATATTCTAATGAGTTAACTGATGATTTGTTACTATTTTATTTGTCTTGCTAGTTCTCATTATTTTACTAGTGGACAAGTATAAGACAGTAACTTTTCATTGGTCCTACCTGGAGGTCCATCAAAACCCGGAAGACCTGGCATTCCTGGGTAGGTTACGTTACAAGGAATCGTATCACCTGGAAAGAAAAAAAAAGTGGCATTCACATAGTTACTAGACCAATGCACGTGGATTCAATGACTATAACTTTGCTCAAGATCTTTTTCATATAGGATACATGGAAAGAGAATGCAAAGAAAATTTCAAGATACATTCCTCAAACGTAAAACCCATTGCAGTTGAATTGATTCTGAATCCTAGAGATCCCATATAGGTCTTGCAAGACTGTAAATCTTAATGGGAGTAGCTAGTGGGTTCAAACCCCAACCTTCTGCTTAGCCCAGTGCCATCAGAACTTCGTTTTTATATTGAATTTCTAGAAGATTCATCCTTACATTTGAACTTCAACTGTTGGAACAGTTATATATACATATAATGGGAATAAGGGAAGTCCTGGTATGGTGTTGTAGGATAAGCACTGGACTGCTAACTACGAGGCTGGCAGTTCATACCCACCAATTACTCCTTGGAAACCCTATACAGGTTCACTATGAGTTGGAACTGATGTAATGACACTTAATTATAACAATGGGAATAAGAAAGAGAAGTATTGGTTCCAAGAATCATAGGTTTTAAGAAGCTAGAAAATATCATGGATGGGTCCTAGAGAGCTACAATGCAGACAGAGCTTTGATCAATCATAAACTACAGCAGCAAGCACCCACCACTGGGTGCAGAAGACATGGGTCCCTGTTTGGACTCAGATAATTGTACAGATGAGGAGGCGGGGCTAGCTATTCATCAGAGTTCCCAATGACTGAGAGCCTGCTTTGAGAGACAAGAGCCCTGGTGATGCTGTGGGTTCGACACTGAGCTGCTAATTGCAAGGTCAGTGGTTCAAATCTATCAGATACTCCATGGGAGAAAGATGAGGCTGTCTGTTCCTATCAAGATTTGTAGTCTTGGAAACCCTGTTTAGAGTTGCTATGAGTCAGAATCAATTCAATGGTCATGGGTTTGATTTTTGTATTTTGGTTCTTTAGATGTTGTTATTAAGTGCCATCGAGTCGGTTCCAACCCATGGTGACCCTGTATAGGGTTTCCAAGGAGTGGCTGGTGAACTTGAACCATTGACATTGCAGTTCAAACTGACTTTGCAGTCCAGCACACTAACCCACAGTTCCACAGGTACTTCCAATGTATCATCTCTTGTTTTCCTAACAAAGCTGTAATGTGGATATTATTCTGCCTCTTCTAAAGTGGTAAAGAAAACAAGATGGCAAACTCTTGCCTTTGAGTTCCCTTCTAAAATACGTTTCTCTTTCATAGTAGAAATAAGAAGGAGCTCTGGCAGCGTAGTGGTCACAAATCAGCCTGCTAACCTCAAAGTCAGAAGTTCAAAACTACCAGACATTCTGTTCTTGTATAGATTTGCAGCCTTGGAAATCCTATGCAGGGTCACTACGTGTCGGAACCGACTCCACAGCACACAAACCACCACCACCGCCAGTAGAAATAAGACCTTATAAGATACTGTCTCATTTGCTTTATTTATGTAAGACAAATAAAAATAATTTTAGAGTTTGGTGGATCCCAGATTATGTTTTTAAACCTTATCATATACTAATAGATTTACCATTCTATGTTGTCAAAGCTAGAGTCATATTATGTTATTCTAAATTTCCACAACTCAGAATGGAGACCAAGGAATAAGTCAATGCAAAAAAGAAAAGAAAATCTTAAGTACACCTTTTTGTCCTATCTTCTTGAAAGTTTTTGCAATAATAATCAAAGAATATGTGTACAGTCACATAGGCAGGTATGCATGCATGTGTGTATGTAGATAGGTATATGTGTGTATATTTACCTTGTGAATATATAGTTGTATCTATGTTGTTGTTGTTAAGTGACATCAAGTTGTTTCTGATTCATTGTTGTTGTTGTTGTCAGGTGCCATCAAGTCGGAACCGACTCATAGCGACCCCATGCACAGCAGAACGATGGCTTGGGTCAGACACACCTTAGTCCTCAAGCTGACATCTCTGCTCTTCAACACTTTAAAAAGTTCCTGTGCAGCTGGTTAAGATTACACGGACCCCCAGACTGTCACCTGAGATACAATTTAAACTTTGAACTGAATTTATTCCTTGAGGTCACCTTTCAGTTAAATAATAGATTGGAACATAAAGTAACTATATTACCTGTTAGTAATTTCCCCCCTTTTTAAAAACATCTACAAGAGACCAAAGGGTAAACATTTACCCTAAAGCAAAGATGAAAAGTCAGGGCGGTGGGGGTGGGGGGTGGGGGGCAGGCAGGGAAACTAGATTAATGAAGAAGAATGACTAAAATATAAGTAACACTATGCTAAAACATACCTTTATAAACATATAAAGGTATGTTTGGAGGTTCGGGGGGTTTATAGCTGGGGAATTTGCAGGAGAATCCAGAAAGTCATTATTTTCTG